TTTGTATGAACTAGCGACTCACCCTCGCTTCACTGGGGGTCGTCCCTGGACCCTAGATACGTTTTAACGGTTAGTGATTCCCATACAAAATAAACAGTACTGAACTTTTCAATTTTCTAGCAGTTCTTTTGGGTTTTCCCAATTTTAGAAGTTATACAGAAGTATAACTTCCAAAAAAAATATGAGACTAAAATTTTTACAATGCGCGCGTACACCGACAGCCAAAAAGCGACACGATGAAGCTAGCTGATAACTGTTTGTGGCCATGGTAACCATTGTTATCGTCTGACAAATGATATATAATATTAAATTCTTACCTTAAATGATATTCTATAAATATATGATTGTAATATGCCTTATTTAATTATTTTATCAATTTGTCATTCCTTTTACAAAGAGTTGTGACGTACGGGATGAAATATTTAGCTATTTGTGTTCTGCCATAGAAGTATTACTTCTTGCGTGAGTACATAAGTACACGCACACTTTTTTTTACTTAAACTACCCCTGACACACTCCCAACAAAACAAAACAAGAATTATTCAAATCGGTCCAGACGTTTTTCAGTTTTAGCGAGACTAACGAACAGCAATTGTTTTTATATATATATATATATATATATATATATATATATATATATATATATATATATATATATATTAGATATGAATATAATATGTAACATTGCCAATGTTATATGTATTTTGACTGATATCTGTGATATTAAGCCCGTCTGCGTAAAATCAGCATGCATTTTTTTCGTTCGATTCAAAAATATGAAAATATAAAAAAATAGTCTCCGTGGCTCTGAGTGCTACGCCGTAGCAATACTTTTTTAATATTTGTCTACCATATATGTTGGTGATTTAATAATTATATCGAAAATGATAATAATAAATATTAATAATAACAATTACATAACAAGTAATACACATGAAATATCAGTTAAATAAAATATAAAAATTTAAGCATCTCATTCAGCCTTTTTTAACGTCTGACTGCTGAGCATGGGTCCTCCGTAGACCTCCACGTTGGTCAAATGCGTGCTGCCTGATTTCCCATGTCTTTGGAAAACTAATTTCGTTAATAATTAAAATTTGCTTTTAGTAATTATACAAAATCGATTATTAAAAATATGCTTTTCTGATAATTTCATAATTTTACCACTTACCATCCATTACATAGTTACTTTTTAAATACAGTTAAGGTACAAAACAAAAGTAAAAGAAATATCAACATTACATAAATCGATACAGAATTGTGCAATACGTGTTTGGATAGTGTTTACACCATTGCATCGACGGCAGGTGGGCTGTCGAAATTAGGGATATAGGTCGAGCGTCTAAGCTTAGTGCATAATGTTAAATTACAAGGAAATTTTTGCAAGGAAATTTAAATCATCTTTAGTCACGTATAGGAATTTAAAGAAGACATTGAGTATTAATAAGTGTATTTATTATTGTATTTGCTTTAAAATATATGTAATCGATGCTATCTATACATATAATCAAATTGTAACAAAGCCGAATCTGTTCATCAAATATTTTTTGGAAAATCTTATTTAAATAAACATTGTTTTCGACACAGAGGCCGAATCTATAGATTTTAGAATTTTTGTATGTCTGTCTGTCTGTCTGTCTGTTACCGCATCACAGAAAAACCACTGGAGGGATTTTGATGAAATTTGGTATGGTGATAGCTGGTTATCCGGGTCAACATATAGGATACTTTTATCGCGGGAAAATATCTCATTTCTGAGGAAAAATACAAAAACTGCAATGTAAGAGTATACTAATATGTAAAACCTAAGAATTTGGTTTTTGGTCATCTGAGCCGCGGGCAATGCTAGTTTACTATATGGGAATATATTATTGGCTAGCATGATGAGTCATCAGTCAGATCTTATTAGGTTTAAATTAAAAAACACGCAACGCTGTTGTATATAAATTGTGGCATTACTGAATCACATTGTTTTTTTTGACCTTTTGCAGGAATTTATTGAAATATAAAACCTCAATTATGTAGCCAGTTAGCAAGAAGCTTTATTGGTCCGAATGTAAATACCTATAACACAAATATTATGTCTAGAAAATTGGTAACTTAGCCAATTAGATCAAGGTCCAGTATTTAGTACCATGCATTTAACCTTCGCCTAAATTTAGTTAATTTTTGTAATGCGTAATCCTGAATTAGCTTATCGGGTCGCGTGTCGCTCGACAGGTTTCCTTAATATTTGTTACACGTGAGACCCCCATAAAGGGCTCTTAATTGTGTGCTGGTGGTCCGATGTGTATCGGCTTAGTGCCACAAAGTGTTCGGTCTGAGGTTGCGTGGATTAACCGAGAGTGACCTTGGCGAACCGTCCAACCCCCTCGTCGTATTCAAATCTAAATAGTCTGAAACTTTCTACCGTCCTATGCGCATTTCTCGTTTTTGCTAATCCAATCTCTATTGTTTCGAATTAAGGTCGGTTTTAAGTGTGAAATTGCGGCATTTAAGTCATTTTCCATTAAACCACTCAATCTTTGTTTTGCTGGTGCGGATTCATCAGCTGTTACAGTTAGTTCGGCCTAGTACCTTATATGACGGCTCGAAACAACGACGTATCTTTGAAATCGCATGAATAATTAAATGTTAAATTTATCGTAAATAGTGAAGTGTCAAAACAGTGATTGTGATATTAATACCTAAATTTTTAAAGCGATAACTCGTGTTGAAATTTTTTCTTTGCAAAAATACTTTGGTAAAATAAGTTTGTCATTACGAAATCGAAATCATCAATGGCTTAAATATTTTATTATTCATTTTTATCTACATGTACATGGCAATATGGTCATTATTTTCTTTTTTTTTATTAAATAAATATTGCAGTGTAAAGTAACATATTATAAAATACACCTCATTTTATTGGCACTTGATTAGAAGGCGGCATTTTCTTTCTAATTTTATAAATACCAGTTGCAAATAATAATACTTTCAAATATTTTTACAAAACATACAAACTAATTGCCATATATATTCATTTATTAATTTTTTCATTGAAAAAGTAATAATTAAAATATCCAATAAATTACTAAAAACTATACCTTACAAAACACGTATAGATGACCAAACAATTACTAAATTTTTGTCGAATGATGAATTTTAACAGACATTGTTAATAAAACTTTATCTGTATATCAATTAAATTCTTATATTTTCTTTGTATTTTATAGAATTTACATGTTGTTACGTGACCGATTAAAACAATCGCGTGACGAATTTGATATTTGCCGTTGACAGCCCTAGGAGCACGCCCTTACCACGCTCGTGCATTGCAAAAATATTATTATTACCTAAGATTTATTAGGTAATACGACCATTCTTACCTAATACATAAATATTCTTATAAAATTCAATAATATATGAATATTATAATATACGTTTTATATATACATTAAATGTGCACTTTAGTAGAAATTTTATTTTTTAAATTGTAATCGTTTTTATTTTACTATCAGATTACGTGCTAAAGCTCAATAACGCAAAATATACCGACGATTAAGTATTTTATAGGGAAAGTGATAAATGATTTCTTTGGTCAGCTTTCTTATATTTATATTAAGTTATTGTTGTTACCTTGATAATAGTTGAGTTATATAAATAAATATGACTGTAGTACTTTCTTAGATTTACGCGAATATTTGACATTTTCAATAAAACTGTCTTTTCGGATTATTTCGCGGATTTATTTTGATTTTTGATACGTGTAAAACCTCAGCCTCTCTCGTGACCATGATTGCTGTAAAGCATTCGAAACGTCGGGAACCAAAAATCAAAATAAATCCGCGAAATAATCCGAAAAGATAGTTTTATTTAAAATATGACTATAATTTTTACCTCCTTTAAATATATTTTGATAAAAAATGATTTTTTTCTTAAAATTTTATCAGCTACCACCTATTTATAATAGTGGTAATTTTATCAATTATATGTCTTATCAATACTAAATTTGTCTTTGTTTGAAATTGAACCTCTAACCTCTAGTATGGCTAAATACTGCCGCTGTACCATATGATCATCAGCATAAATATTCCTATATTTCAAGCTTATTACAATTTATAATATCTACATGGTCGAAGTTAATCTCTCAAGGCGAGTCCAAGGTATCACCAGTAATTTCTCTTCAAATCACGTATCGTAGGTTTACACTCTATATGCAAATGTCCGATGCACCGGACGGCCGGACCCGCGTCACTGCCGCATGTGCATAAACTGTGCCAACTAAGGGTCGAAATAATAAATTATGAAAATCGATACCTCCTTAAGCTTTCTACTTTCTAGTAATAGTTATCTATACTTTTAAAATATAATACTACTGTGACATAATTAATTATGACTATGAGAAAAAAGTAAAATTTAAAATCGCGGTTAATGCACTTTTGTTTTATATTAGTTATAAAAAAGCTAATGTACGCAGAAATATTAAATAAATCGTTATGTCTGTGTATATATAGTGTTTTATATTATATATAGATCTCTGATACTTAAGATAGATTATACCAAATTATTAAATTCTTATCCTGTATAATAATGCAATAAAAATGCTTCTCATTCAAAGAAAAATAACCTCAAAAGCTTCATTGTTGTATTGCACGAGTACTTAGGTACTTGAACTTGAGTAGAGGTGATGAACGCGAGTGACATTTACAGATACTATAACCGTTTCATGTTACCGTGACAAATTACATACAGTATCTTGACAGTATAATTAAGTATTTGTATTTAATTTTTTTATTAAGAACCATTATAGAAAAAATTAAAAAAAAATAAAGTTCAACATAATATACCTATTACATAAAAACAAAAACCATCAAATCAATGAAAACACTTTAAACTATAACAATAAAGGTATATATTAAAATAAAAACGTCAATATATTTGTAATAAAGGTAGGACATTAAGTTACAAAAGTGTGGCGCCCGTGTCGAAACCGCTGGTACTCCCCAGCTAGCAGCTCTATGCTGGATAGCGATGAGGAGTCGCCATTCACGGTCATATCATTGCCAGTATACACTCCAGACAGACCGGTACGTATTACCACAGATTACTTAATAGTTATTTTATAAGTATTACCATAAGGTACTTAATAACTATCTCGTAAATATTACCCGAAAATTGAGATATATCAAAGAGAACTCAAACATCGGCTGTTTCCACAATAGAGTCATAGAATAATTTACATATAATCGTTACTAACATAATGAATACAAAAGTATGTTTGTTTTTTGATTTGAATCTTAATATAAGAAAGAAATAATATAAACATTTGCAAATAAATGGTATATAAAACATGAGCAAATAGGTCCCAAATTGATAATTATATATTAATATACGAATATTTATTGAATAATAAATATATAAGATGGCGTTTATGCCTAAGCGAAGTGAAGGCAAGACGCTCGTTATATGTAGGATTTCAAAATATAATGATATATTATTAATAATTAAAAAAATATAATAACCATATAAAACAAATAAGTAATACCATATGAGGGGTAGATAAAGATCAATGTAGCTCACTTCTTTTTCCGCATGGAGGTAATCAGTCGTATGTTAATTTGTGTGAAAATTAATTTTCACCGTGAAATATACGAGTAATATATTCACTTAATGACGGAATATTTAAGACACTTATTTTGTTTTGTTAATTATGTAATGTAAAAAAAACCTTATGCATATTCAAAGTTTTGCGTGTTCCACGTTCATACGTATATACTTTACGACTTATGTTGCAAAGATATACCTATTAGGTGAAGTCAAATATTATTAAATATAAGTAATTATGACTCTACATCGGCTACCTTTTCAATAGTAAAAGCAAATGTGACATATAAAAATAGTAAATTCGCATCACCCTAGATACTGAATACAAAAAAAAACATTAAAATAAAAGGAACTCGAATCACAACAATGTTCAGTCGTATCAGACCCACAAAACACCGCAGCGCGCAGTTTACTTGCTATGCAGCAATTTCTGACGCGACCTCGTCCGCGACATATATTCAGTTAGCTTACGTACAAACCCATAGAGCCCTAAACCACGTTCCTAAATCTTATTTCAATTAAGGTCCTAGAAGGTCGCAGTGATTGTTCTAATTACACGCATACGATAAGGTGGCCTTGAGGAACGGTCAGTACCATCGGCCAAGGACGACAGCATAATTTGGACGTTATCGAAGCGGTATTGTTTACCATCGTCAGTGGTCACTCGTCTGCGACTCAAGTCGGTCGAACTTTGCAACATATCGCGAATAAGAATTCGGTACTATGCTAAAAGCGCCGTCAATTTGAAAATAACAGATAACATGGTAAGTTATGAGTACGTCTGATCTTAGATATAAGATGGGGGTACCTAATTCTATATAAAGAAACTTTAGGTCAGCTATGGTGTTTGTTATTAATCAAAGCTTATTTTAAATAATTAAAAAAATAATTTTATATTAGAAGAAAATATGTCAAGCTGCAATAAAAATTGAAATTTATTCGTTTGCATATATAATAGCTCTCGATATACACAATTTTCCTTACAAATTCTTTGCCGCGTAACATTCATTTCACGCTAGTAATATAATACTTCGCATGAAATCGGCCGTCATACGTAAACTGGGTTAAAAGCTCTGGTATTTATGAGAAATTACAAAAAATGTTCACCTATATACATAGGTATAGGTTAAGTAGCGACGATGAAGGTAGAATGGAATTTTTCCAACCACAGTCTGAATATTGAAATAGTCCACGTAATATCTACCTATATTTGATTTCTATATTAGATATTAAACAAAGAGAATAATTTAGGATAGCAAAAAATTCATATCAAATTAAATTGAATATACTGCGTATAATGTTACCTACAAAATAATCAATGTAAAATTGTATACATAAATTTTAGGGTACATGTAGTAATAGGTATATGTCATGAATCATGCGAAATCGTGTCAGGGACGTGTAGTGTGCCGATTCTGAATGACTGTATAATATCGAAAGTGTTGTAAAATTAAGCTCTGCTATAAGAGTGTAATAGAAAATTATTTCATCTAAAGTGATGCTTCCCGCCAAAAAGGACAGCTTATATTACCAACACATTTAACAATTGTTGCCTTTCAACAATTAATGACATAGTTGTCAATGCTTCTTGACTCAGTTACATTAGACTTATTGTTCATATGAACAATCTATTTTATAGGTTTTTAAAACAGCGTTTTAAAAACGTTTAAAGAACTTCTACTAGATTCAGATTTTAGATTTCTGGAATATGTCGAACATTCGTATTTATTATTATTATATTATGGAGGTTCTCAAAAAGGAAGATTGCGAATTATAACCTTCCTACATAGTCCCTCTTTTTATTGGAGAAAATTGTATGAATATTTGAACACTAGTTTGTGATATTAACCCGAACAAACACACATTTAGCGTGGCGGGGGACTTAAAACTAAAATAATAATATATAATATAAACTAAAATAATACAAAAACATACATAATAATTGCACAGGCTGCCAGCTACGGCAAAAAGAACGGGATGTGGTACGGCGGCACGTCGACAGCGACGGGCGCGAGTGGATGGTCCCGCGCGGGCACGAGGAAACAGTCCGTCGCGGAGTCCGACGCTCCCCCGCCCGGCGGCGGCAAGCCTACTAGCGGGAGAGTTATCCGGATAATTAATAATATGGACCACTCTATACAGGTAATATCTCATATTGTAAAAATAATTTACATCGCTAATAAAGAGCAAGTCATTTAGTTTTTAACTAAAAGGATACTCTGACTACAAAATCATTTAAAATCAATTATTCCATCTTTGAAGGCCTTTTTTCTTTAATTTGTGTTCTGTTTGTCTATTTGTACGGCTTAGTACACAACAACTTATGCACCTAATTTAGTAAAATTCGGCATGCTAATACCTTATTTTGCCGGTCAAACAACAGGTTACTTTTTATCCCGAAAAAATGAACGGTTCCCTTGGGATAGATCTGATTGCGCCGTTCTAGAGGCAAACCCGAACGAAGCGAAGGTGAGCCGCTAGTTTATCAATATGTATGGATGACATTCTGTTTAAGTTCCATAACGCTTAAATATTTTATTTAAATACATTTTTTAGTTTTCTACTACGGATAGTCAATTTAGTATGTCATCCTTAACATTTAAGATTTTTATGGTGTTTAAGGCAAGTATCAACCAAACGTAAACTTATATTATTGTATAAAAAACATAAGGACCTACTGGAGAATCTTTCAACCTACGTACTTTTTTCTACAGCGGAGAATATTGAATAGCTATTGTAGACTACTAAGAGAAACAAACGAGAGCCAAGTTGTAGGTAAAAGCTAGTTATGGAATAATATTAATACGCCCTGCCTAATAATTACAAAGTACACATTTATTTATTTAAATACTAGGTAATATTGAGAGTAATTCATTGAATTAATCCAAAAATAATCTGTAAGACATATATAAATCGGAACATTCGTTGCAGATATTGTATTTTATTTTTCACATCACCATTTTGTACAATCCATACAATTAAATTTAACAACTGCTTTATTTGATAAAAACTTAATTACAAATTCAAATAATACTTATCGCTATAATAATCATAAAGTTGCACGAAACAATTAAATTTGAATTTTCCATACATTTTTTTCACGTCTTTATCATCCAGCGACCGCGCTGTAATAACTATGACTGTTAAATCATTAACCATTTAGCAAGCGTTATAATAAGACGCTTTCATTGGAAATATCCTTGGATTTTTTTTTCTTACTTGGCTTCAGTGGTTTTTTTGAGGTCACGTAGTTAGGAAAAGGTGTTATTACAACGTCGCACGAGTTCCATTTTTTAGCGCACCGCTTAGACTGTAACTTAATTAATGATTTTATATTCCAGTGCCGCGTCTTATTAAATCTACGCACTACACAACCTTTTGAAGAAGTTTTAGAAGATTTGGGTCAAGTTTTAAAAATGAGTGGAGCTAAAAGGATGTACACAATTACTGGCCAGGAGGTGATCAAATACTTGCGATTTTAATACACACTTTGTTAGAACTGAATAATAATAAAGTAATATTTTGTTATTTTTCTATCAGGTAAGAAGCTTTTCTCAACTGAGGAATGAGTTTGCTGACGTGGAGACATTCTATTTAGGTACAGCGATGGTGCCACCTGCTGTCAGTCCAGGAATAAGCGCTCCACTGCCTATAGAATCACCTATTCGAAGGTAGTTTATATCGAGATAAATATATATTTTGAGATACATATTTCTATTAAATTTAAATGCTTGTTATTTAGATCTCGATCAAGAGGTACCGTAGCAGCAATGCCAGTCTCAGAGGACACTCGAGGGCGACGGGCCAGAAGCAAAAGTCGTCCAAGGGTACTTTACGCTCCAGAAGGTGAAATAATTCGTAACTCAGGTAAGATATCAGAACTTGATTAAATGATCTAAAATAATATTAATGTCCAATACTGACTAATTCTTTGAAAAGCATTTATAAATTAAAGTTGGTGCACGTAACATTGCTTCTACAGATTACACACTTTTAGAGGTACTGAAAGAAGAACCGATAAGAGTGACAATTCGAGGTCTACGACGTACTTTTTACCCTCCCATACATCATGCACCTATTGACAATACTCCTCCAGACAAGAAAATGCAATTGGAATGGGTGTAAGTAATGTTTGTATAACACAAAAAAGTATTCTGTATATCTGTACCTAAGAAGCATAATACTGTAACGCCAAAAGAGTTTGTGTTTTTTACAGTATACTGTAAAAATGTGAAGAATACTGTAAAAAACACAAACTCTTATAAAAAACGGAGTTTCAATGTTATGCTCAGGTACAGATATAATCTCGTTCAACTGCTTTATATTTATGACTGATATATAAAAATCTCTTTAGAAACTAATCATCTGAGTTATTTTGTTTTTTTATTTATTGATTTGAGTACCTATTTGATATTATTCATCTAGTTACGGCTACCGCGGAGCCGACTCTCGCCGTAACTTATGGGTGCTACCTACTGGAGAGCTACTCTACTATGTTGCAGCCGTTGCTATAATGTATGATAGAGACGAAGAATCACAAAGACACTATACAGGCCATACTGAGGATATTCAATGGTGAGATTTTTATTGATGTAGTGGAAAGTTGTTGTATTTATTAGCAATATGAAAGAAAAAGATTTTATTAATATTTAATTTTGAATTTAGATATATATTTTAAATAAGAATATGAAATATTTTTGTTTTCACTTTGAGTATAGTATGGAACTACACCCGTCGCGTGAACTAGTGGCGAGTGGTCAGCGAGCTGGACGCGGTCGTCGCGCTCAAGCTCACGTACGCATTTGGAGTACGGATACTTTACAAACTCTACACGTTTTTGGAATGGCAGAATTTGAACTTGGTGTATCTGCTGTTGCTTTTTCACAACTGGTAAGTTAATAATTTACATACTGGATAAATTGGAAGAGTATATAGTCTGCTATATGTTTAATATGTTCAAGGAGTTACATATATAACATAATTAGTATATATATGTAACACGCAATACTCATAATATATAGGGGCTATTGTTGTTGTTGTTGTAGACAAATAAGTTCCTTTACCAAAAAAAGATAAGTACTTTCAATTCTTGGAATGATATTAATTGAATACGATGTTATATATGTTTCATACAATGATATACAAAATGTAGTTGATACCTAGGCTCTGAGTAAAAGCGTCATGCCATACAATAAGGACATCTTAACGCTCGTAAATAAAATACTTAATAAATAATTTGGCAAAAAATTATCACAAAAAATTGTGCTATTAAAAATATAAGATTTAAATCATCCAATTGAATAATTTTGTTACGTTTAATATTTCTCACGTTAGAATGGCGGCAGCTACGTGTTAGCTGTAGACGCTGGCCGTGAAAGTATTTTATCAGTTTGGCAGTGGCAATGGGGACACCTACTTGGCAAAGTCGCAGTAAGTTATACAATAACTTTTGCTTTACTTACTAATAACCAAAAATATGTAAATTTTTAGTATCTACATACTAGTAATTTACATATTTTATTAGATATATATTTGGAGATATTGTGATATTAAAAGTAAGATATTTATTTGCAAAGTATGGTGTACATATTTCTCTACTACAAATTTGCAGAAGAATACGTTTTAAAACAAACTATAACTATGGTTTAAAGTTTTATTTTAATGAATACCTTACTTTACATTAAATATGTAAAATACATGTAGATATGATAATATGGAAAGGTGAATTTCATAAAAAAGGACATTTATGTGGTCCAACATAAATTTATTTAGATGCAAAACGTTTTGTTTTGAATTTAGTGAGGTCAGTTATCAAGATGTCAATCGCGATAAAACAACACGAAACGTGTGATTTTGTTCATGGCGCTATAAAATAAAAATACTTTTTTTAAACATTAAGTAATAATTTCTGTAGATAGATTTTATTATTAATACTAATATTTTCCCTTAATTTAAAATTTATGAGAACGGGAATTATGATGCACAACAAAAAGTTTGTCGTTTTAATTTATAGTAAGTAGTATCTGGGCTACCGAGGATCGCTACGCTTGGCGTAGGCGCTCATCTGAGAGGTTATGAGATGGCACTATATGGCATTGTCAGCATAAAAGCAGATAAAAAAGGGTCTAATAAAGACTTATAAAAAAATGATTTTTCTTTTGTGAAAAATTGCGTTTTTTCAGAAAAAACACCTATAGATTAACTTAAAAAACAAAACCTTATATAAATACAAAATTGTTCCAAATCATTGGAGCGGTTTTCAAAATACACGAAATAAATTTATATACAAAAATATACAAGACTTGGTTATTAAAAATTATAAGACAACTAGCATTGTCCGCGGCTCCGCCCGCGTTCAGATGACTAATAACCAAATTCTTAGGTTTTCATATTATTATACTCTTACATTGCAGTTTTTTAATGTTTTCTCAGAAATGAGATATTTTCCCGCGGTAAAAAGTATCCTATATATTGACCCGGATAAACAGCTATCATCATACCAAATTTCATTAAAATCCCTCCAGTGGTTTTCCCGTGATGCGGTAACAGACAGACATACAGACGACAGTCAGACAGACAGACAAAAATTCTAAAAACTATAGATCTGTATCGATAATAATGTCTATTTCAATAAGATTTTCCATAAAATATTTAATGTACAGATTCGGCTTAGTTACAATTTTATTATATGTATAGATAACAAAGTTATAAAGTTAAACTTAACAATTTAAAAGTACATATATGACACGCCTACCAGACAGCTCTACGCCGCCTACGATATCGCTACGGATTGCCATGTTTTATGTATTTTTATCACAATTGATTTTAGTCCTTATTCTATTAGTATAACGATTCAGAATTGCCTATAATCTTAAATTTCCAGTTTGCGTAGCATGTTTGCTAAGCAACCACAGTAACATTGAAAATAAAAATGAAATACGTAAAAATATAGGTAAGCATTTTATAGCCGGAAATAATTGAATAGAGATTTCTGTAATATTTGGTTAGTCGATTAAAGTTTTACAATTAACGTTGTTTAAAAGTTGAGATAACTAGATTTTAATGTGGAATTTTTATTATTTTTGACGACACGTTTGGCTCAGTTTGCTACTTGCTGTGCCAGCGGTCGCGGGTTTGAGTACCGCTGGGTTATTCATTTGTGTGATGAGCTCGAATGTTTGTACTCCACTCATGGATGTTTATATTTATAATATGTACGTATTTAAAGTTATATATGTATAGTATATCAACTATCTGGTATCCATAACACAAGCCTCGTAGCTTACCATGGAACTAGATGGTGCTGTGTGTTAATGTCCCAACATATTTATTTATTTATTTAGGACTATTTATCATAATTTAAATATGTATTATAATCATTTAATTTTAACCAAATTGTAATTTTAACCAAAAAATATTACTTTATTATTAGAAGCATGCCACAACAATAGAAAAGCAGATGGCACTCCAATAGCTATTCTTTACAGTCCTATATTTTTTACTTTACTACTTCCATTAACGGAATAATTTTATAACGGACGTAAAAAAGTTATGTGAGGTTAAATTATTTTGCTAGCTTTTGATTTCAAAGTAACTTTAGTTGTTATAAATATCTATACATATAATAAAATTGCAACCAAGCCGAATCTGTACATTAAATATTTTTTGGAAAACCTTATTGAAAAAAAATTATTATCGATACAGAGACCGAATCTATAGCTTTTAGAATGTTTGTCTGTCTGTCTGTTACCGCATCACAGAAAAACCACTGGATGGATTTTGATGAAATTTGGTATGGTAATAGCTGGTTATCCGGGTCAACATAAAGGATACTTTTTACAGCGGGAAGATATCTCATTTCTGAGAAATAATACAAAAACTGCATTATAAGAGTATACTAATATGTAACACCTAAGAATTTGGTTTTTGGTTATCCGAACGCGGGCGGAGCCGCGGGCAATGCTAGTAAAATTATATAACCGTAAGACTGAAGAAAATTAAAAACAATTCATAAAATATGTAATAAGTATATACATACATATGTATTGTGTATTCAGCATTTTTAAATGTCACACTGCTGGATACGGGCCTCTCTTCAATATGAGGGAGATCAGGCCATAGTCCGCCATACTGGTTAAGTGAGGGTTGGCGGACTTCACATGTGCTTCGAAAATTTGTTAAGTTCTCTCAAACATGCAGGTTTCCTCTCGATGTTTTTCTATACCGTAAGGCAAATGGTAAAAGTGTTGAAAAAAACGATTCGACATGAAAATATCAGATTTACGAGATCCGGGATTTGATCCCACTTCACTTGGTCTCCCAAGCAAGTGCCATACCACTGGGCTACAACTACCATTGTGTCTTAAGTAGGTTTAAATACTTTTTATGTCATAAGCAGGTTTAAGTAAAAATCATTTTGCATGGAACTTATTTTTTTATTTCTTTATATTCAGACGCTACAAGAAGAGTTAACTGGAGCCGCGTTTCACCCGCTCGACGACAATTTACTGATTACACACGGAAAAGGACACCTTGCTTTTTGGAACCGCAGGAAGGATGGATTCTTCGAACGAACTGATATTATAAAGCCAGTAAATATTATGAATACATCCAATATTTAATTTTTCTCTCCCTTATATAGGTTTTATAATTAATCTGTAATGATTATTTATCTGATACAATAGTTTTTATTAAACATTTACGATAAGTGATTAATTAATCAATATTATTTTAGCCTGCACGTACACAAGTTACCGCCCTGCAGTTCGAGCAAGATGGTGATGTAGTGACCGCTGACAGTGATGGATTTATCACTATTTACAGTGTTGATAGTGACGGGGCATATTTTGTTAGAATGGAGTTCGAGGTAACTTTTATTAATCAATTACTTTATAAATTAATATGTTTTTTTATTCCAATTAAATAGTTTTAATATTTTTGTAATAATTTTCTTATTCTTTACATTTAATTAATTTTCAGGCGCACATGAAAGGAATTAGCTCTTTGGTAATGCTATCCGAAGGTACTTTAATCTCAGGTGGAGAGAAAGATAGAAAAATTGCAGCGTGGGATTCTTTACAAAATTATAAAAGGATTACAGAAACAAAGGTAATTTATTGAGAAATATGTGAGAAATTCTTATTGATTATTTTTATGTATGCTGTGATTAAAATATTTAGTTACCCGAATCTGCTGGTGGAGTTCGCAGCATCTATCCGCAAAGACCGGGAAGAAATGACGGTAATTTGTACATTGGTACAACGAAAAATAACATAATGGAAGGATCTTTACAACGAAGATTTAATCAAGTAAGTGACTATGTCTAAAATTTAAGATGATATGAGCTTACTTTTCATAATTAAGGTATTCATATTTATGACAATGTACCAGGTATTATTTGGACATCACAAACCCTTGATGGGGTTGGCCGTGCACCCCGACGATGAAATGTTTGCCACAGCTGGCCATGATAAAAATATCGCTCTGTGGAAGGGGCATAAACTTATGTTTGCTACGCAGGTAATTGATTAATTATTACAATTAAAAGTTATATATAACACGTAATCACTACTCATATGTACATTTTTATTCTACTTTGACCCACTTTTATTGTTTCACCTAGAATTTCATTTAAATTAAAAAAAAATCTAATTAATTATATATTTTTTGGCTACTATGTAGGTGGGATATGAATGTGTATCATTAGCCTGGCATCCTGGGGGCGGAGCTTTGGCTGCGGGAAGTACTGAAGGTCATTTGGTCATACTAAATGCTGATGCTGGAGCTCATGTTGCTACTCTCAGAGTGTGTGGCTCACCTTTAAACTGTTTACAATATAACTCAGGTAAATGCTAAAGAATATCATAATAATGATTTGCAATCATATAATACATCCTTTGTGTTTTTATTATAATCTATACATATAATAAAATTGTAACTAAACCGAATCTGTACATTAAATATTTTTTGGAAAATATTATTGAAATAAACATTATTATCGATACAGAGGCCGAGTTTTTAGAATTTTTGTCTGTCTGTTTGTCTGTCTGTCTGTCTGTTATCGCATCACAGAAAAACCACTAAATGAATTTGTTGAAATGAGGTATGGTAATAGCTGATTATCCGGGTCAACATATAGGATACTTTTTACCGCGGAAAAATATCTCATTTCTGATAAAAAATACAAAAACTGTAATGTAAGAGTGTACTAATATGTAAAACCTAAGAATTTGATTTTTGGTCATCTGAACACGGGCGGAGCCGCGGCCAATGCTAGTATACATAATATAATAATTTCATCTATGAAATAATTAAATGTTGTTTTTTTAAGCCGGAGACATTCTTGCCATTGGATCACAAAATGGCAGCATATACTTATTCCGTGTATCACGAGATGGTTTTTCATACAAAAAATCGAATAAAATACGAGGTGCTCAGCCACTGGTTCAAATAGACTGGAGTCTTGATGGAAACTATTTACAAACTGTTACTGCGGACTACGATTTATCTTTTTGTATGTATTATTCCCTCCCTATAATTTTGTATATATGTATGATAATATTTAGCTAACTTCTCAAAATTTAAATTTCTAGGGGATATAAAAGCCTTGTCTCCAGAGAAAAGTCCAATAGCTATGAAAGATGTGAAATGGTCTACGTACAACTCAACCGTAGGATTCCTTGTGTCAGGTACTTAATACATATATACGAGTAATATGTCTGCCTTATGTGAGATAACAGTAGGTATATGTACCCAACAATTTTTATATTAACTATTAATTTATTCTAGGAATGTGGAATAATCGGTTTTATCCTATGACTTCTTTAATAACTGCTGCTAGCCGCTCATCTGCCCATGATCTCCTTATTAGTGGTGATTCTGATGGCTATCTACGCTTATTTAGGTAAATGGAATTAAATTTAAATAATAGTTAAAAATAACGAGTATTTCTAAGTATGATATAAGCATAAATTTATATTTCATTATACATATAAACCTTGGTCTAACAATTCAGCTAACCGTAACAAAATTAAAATTTTCAAACTATCTTCTACATCTACAACTATCTTGTTACAAATATGAAAAATAAATTATATAAGGTATTGTTTCAATCTTTTCATATAAGTAAATTTATTTCAGATATCCATGCTCAAGTCCTAAAGCTGAGTATAATGAGGTGAAAGTTTACACTGGATCAGTTTATTCAGCTCGATTTCTTTTTAACGACCGCTGTATGGTTACCACTGGTGGGTCTGATGCTGCTCTTATGCTGTGGGAATTGGTTGACGACTAGCATCAAGCGGCGCAGGGGTTGCGTCCACCGGCTGTTTATGTGGCATCCCCAACACCCTCTCCACCCCCCGCGCTGACACTATATCCTACGTTCCAAGTTTTAGATTTTGACGATCTCGACTAAATGGAACTTCAGGATTTGGAGGATCCTACGATACTTGCTATCGTAACTAACATTTATCTCTTTGAGCCCTTTATTAGGGATGCATATCGATTTCGCTCGATAAATCGGGTCTTAACATATGCATATTGGTTCACAAAGACACATTGGTTTTGCGACACTCTTCTTGTCGCAAAAGTACTCGGTGAAGTTTATGGTAGGAAATTGTTTTACCTTAAACTTATTAGGAACATTAAATGCTGGAAAGAGTCAACTGAAGTGAACTATTAATATTTATTTTGTAAGGAAAGATAAATTAACTTGCATAACTAGATGTCGACTTTTTGAAATTATGGAGATTTGAACATAATTATATAATATTATACGTTGCGTCATTAATCACACTGCCATTTTAACTTGCATATTATATTATAAAATAAATTAAAATGAAACCACACATGAGCATTATGAAGTATTGGCTAGAACTTAACATGATTAAAAGTAGTTAAGTTAGTAAGCATTAATTTCTTAAAAATTGAAAGAATTTAAAATAAAAGCTTGTAAAAATGGATATTGCAGCGCAATTTTTATGTTAAAAAAGTGTTATATATTTGTTTAAAAGAAGCTTATTAAGTATATTAAATAATTTCTGAAGGGTCTCAAGGGTCGGTACTCCACCCGCCTTCAGAAGTTTGGTCATTATTCCATCTGCCCTCGGTGCCTTGTTGTTCTTGAGCTGTTTGAGAGCCACACTAATTTCGTACAAGCTGAGGTCCGGGATAAAATATATGTATTAATATTTAAGTCATACGACCTATTAAGGGAGATGAGTGAATATAGCCTTTTGTGGATAATAAAAAAATATAAAAGCACAATTTCGGTATAGAGTACTTAAGTAAACTTCTCTTTAAAGGGGTTTGATACTATTTACACTTGTGCACACTAGTTATTTTATACAGTAATATATGTGGCGGGCCACTTTTATCATATTTTGAAAGGTAACATTCCAGTGGAATCCGATTAATATACACATTACAGTATTTTTACTGTCACAAAAATTCACAACAATCATTTTTGTACGTAGCGTCCCTACATAGACACAAAGTAGCTTTACTGTACTGTGTACACAAAGTAGCTTTACTGTACTTTAGTAACATTTAAGAATTACTTATATAAATTGATTAGAAATTGTTTATTTGTTTAACTTTAAACATATAATTTAATGTTTTTATCTGTTGTTCATTGAACTAAATTTTAAATTATTTAAAAAAAAGATATATTATTAATATGTATGTATTGCGGTTAATGTTGTTTCCAATAAACTATACATCGAAATCTTGTATTATTTCTTTTACATATACGAGTATATTACCTCATAATTGTAGACTTTAGATTACTAACATATGTAATTATATTATACGAGTATATCTAATATCTCCATGACCGATTTCTTCCATGGCCATCAATCGTATTAAAGACTAGCCAACTGCGTAGGATACATCTAATATATTATAATACCTTTTAGAGCTTAGACCCAATTGATTCGGTCTCATCGCAAAATTTTTGTTGTCTCCTACCTACCAAACAACTCGAATAGATCGATAATCTATCGATTTCGTTCTTAATCAGTACATTTTACAATCTGTCAACTCGAACTAAAGTAAGCGGATAGAATGAGCTAATATTAAAAATAATTAATTATAAAATATAAAAAACCGAATAACCGATATATTTATTTTTTACATTTAGCTTTATTTATTAATTAGTACCTAGTATCGAAATACTGCGTCTTATTTTCTAAGTTTAAAGTTGTTATATGTATAGATATCAATAATTTGTATACAGTTTATCTAACAAAGATTAAATAATATCATTATTGTCTTGAAAACTATTTTTCAAGTTAAACAAGTTCAATTCAATTCAATTTTCTTGTTAATGGCTTTAAAGTGTGCCAGTTGAGCAAAGATTACTTCGCCAATGTCACGTAAAATGAAGAAGACACGAAGGAGATTGGTCGCTAAAATAAGATTATTAAACTGTTTTAAATTATAATGTGTAAAGAAAGAAGTAAATCCTAATCATAAACATTGCGCCTATAACTAAACACAGCATAGACATTTTTAAATAAAACTATCTTTTTGGATTCTTCGCAAATTTATTTTGGTTCTTGAGAGAATGACAGTCTCTCCCGTGACCATGATTGCTGTAAAGCATTTGAAAAGTCGGGAATCCGGAAAGACAGTTTTATTTAAAAAGACAGCACAATTAAAATATCCATAAAAACAATTAGAGAGCGAAGTGGTAAGTAAATTCTAGTTATTTAATAAGTAACAAAATGTTACTCTATAGACTAATTCCTTTGCACTACTATCTTTACCTACATAAAAATTTACACAGAAGACTTAACACAAACATTAATAAACGAATAACATCAATAGGACGGGGCCCGGGCGACTTTAAGGGGAAGGACAACGTAAATAATAAATAGTATTAAGGAGTCTAGGACAGCTAAGAAGAATAATTATGAGAGAAGGAAGCACCTTCATCGAGACCACATTCGCATAATATGGAGTTATCCCTGACCCTGATATTAATTGCTAGGTGATTAAATAAGTTAAATATGGGTGTTTTCCAATTACAGCGCTAAAACGCATTATGCGCCATAGTGCTCAACTTCGAATTTTTCAACTACAGCAACGCTCCGCACAATCGAGCACTTTAAAAAGTAACTGCTTTGGCGTGATGCGCGCGACAGATACCAACTCAGTAGCAGAAAAAACTTTTTAACAAAAAAATAAAAACCGACTTCAAACAAAAGCACTAAAAAGTGAAAAATAACTGATTGGTAGTTTTCATTTACTATACATACCTAATCAAATATTTTCGAAGTCGGTGTGCTTTGCTTTGTATGGGCTGGCACCGATTTCGAAAATATTTGATTAGGTATGTATTTAATAGGTAGGCTTTAATTACTTAGCCAAAGCACACCGACTTCGAAAATATTTGATTAGGTATGTATAGTAAATGAAAACTACCAATCAGTTATTTTTCACTTTTTAGTGCTTTTGTTTGAAGTCGGTTTTTATTTTTTTGTTAAAAAGTTTTTATTTTTCCCTTTTTAGTGTAGACAGTAGTAGCAAAGTAAGGATTCTAACGTGTTAGGCTTGTCAAATCAAACAAAATAAGCCCAAACTCAAAGTATCTACTATTAGCCGTTGAAGAGTTCCACCTATCCACCTTCTGGCCTTGCCATCAGATCAGGTCAACAACACCGAACCACTGTACTATCAACGAAAATAGAAATAGTTGCAAAGTTTCAAGTCAATATGACAATTAGAAGTAGGTTAAATTCATTATTAGTTGTTTTTCCACCCTTAGGGGTGGTATTTTTTCTTTTGAAATTTAAATGGGACCAATCTGGAAGTATACCCTTTCAAACAAAACAAAAATTGTCCAAATCGGTTAATAAATGACGGAGTTCTGAGGTAACAAACATTAAAAAAAAAATATACCGTCGAATTGAGAACCTCCTCCTTTTTGAAGTCGGTTGAAAATATAGAAGTGTTTTTCGTATTGTTCGTGTTTGTGCGCCAAAGTGCGGCATTATGCTCTGTAATGGGGAAAAATTTTGCTTTTTCGCTCACCAGATGTCGCGATCAATAAAGCCCTCAGTATATTGTAAAGCTCTATAGCGTGAATAGTTTTTTTTTTTCATTTTATTTAAAATTTAATTAAAATGACAAATTGTGCAGCGCCAGAATGCAAATAAAATGGATATCATTTGTTCCCAAAAACAAAAACGGCATCACACAATCTTTATATTTAAGGCTATGTGGACACCATTTTAAAACTCTGCAATGGTCTACAGGTAAATATATTTTTTTTATTTTTTGTACTTTTTTACATATTAATTACAGAGTTTCATACAAACTTTCATCCCCCATTTTACTCCCTTGTGGGATCGAATTTCAAAAAATCCTAAAATATATATTTATTTAATTGTATTGAAGAACATTAATACCAAGTTTCAAATAATTCTGATCATAAATAATTATTTGCCCATATAAACTTTATTACCCCCTTTTACGCCTTTAAGAGATAAATTTCGAAAAAAATCAAATAAATATATATTTTATTTTTTATCTTAAAGCTAAACACTACTTTCATATATTTCACATTAAGAATGACAGAGTTTCATATAATCTTTAATCTCCTATTTTACCCCCATAGTGGATGAATTTCAAAAAATTCTTCCTTATCCGATGCTTATATTGTATAAGGAATACGTCCTCCAAACACGTTTCTAAGACCCGCTTAGGCTGTGTGTCGATCCATCACTCAGTCAGGGCCACCGCAGGATGCACCCCTTCTTCTCAATTCTTCATTCTGTTGGTCTAACTTCTAAGTACAATACATTACACAGGTAAGACGCGAACATAAAAAAAGCAAAAAACCAGGATACAAGAGATATCATAATAAATTGCTTAATCTCAGACTGAATGTAAATAGACAATACGTGCGGCGCCCTCTTTTCGAGAAATCTGTCCCATTGGAAAACAGGGCTAAACATTGTTTTTAGTGTACAATACTAGCAACACTACCAAAAACGTCAAAGTCACAAATTTGTCAAATGTCAATGTCCTTTTAGGTTTAGCTTATTTTTTTTTAGGTTAAGCTTACAGTCTGCAAAAATCAATAAAGTGAAATGTCATTTACAACGCTTACGCCTTACGAATACCTACCGGGAGCCGGAGGATGTGACAATGAAGTTTTGAGAATTTTAAACCATTGAAAAGTTTAATAGTTTCATGATGAAACCTAGACCTTGCGGCTGTAAGGGTTGCAGAACCTGTCTTATTTGTGAAACATACTACGGCGCAGATTCTTTAAAAAATACAAAACCATTAGACAAAGAAAAAGGCTACGTGTACTGCCCATTGTGTAATAAAGCTTGGAGTGGTTGGGATATTGACATATATAAGCAGCATCCGTATCATGAAGGGAAATCAATTATTTATCCAGGAGTTTATATAAAGCTGGACTTTATATCTAAGGCAGAAGAGGAAGAACTCATGAAAAATATCGATGAAGTACCGTGGGATATATCGCAAAGCGGAAGGCGTAAACAGAATTATGGACCAAAGACTAATTTTAAGAAACAAAAAATTGTTCCTGGCAAATTTGAGGGATTTCCGAAATTCTCTAAATTTTTGCAAGTTAGATTTCGAGAGCTTAATCTATTGAGAGGTTATGAAGTTATAGAGCAATGTTCCTTAGAGTATGATCCAAGTAAAGGTGCATCTATAGATCCTCATATAGATGATTGCTGGGTGTGGGGAGAAAGAATCCTTACAGTAAACTGTTTAGCCGACTCAGCACTCACAATGACACCTTTTAAAGGAGATTCCAAAAAATACAATCTGTATTGTGCTGACAATTACCCTCCCCTAGTTGAGACTGATGGCAGTATTAATATTGACTATGTTGATAAAGGAAAAAGCATGCTAGAAGCTAGTAAACCTTTAGAAGATAATGATGTAATCATTAGAATACCATTAATAAGGTATGTCTATATATTTTTATGATGTATGTATTTTTATTAAATATATTTCCTGAGACTTTCTTTGTTCTATGAGTTATTTTTATAAGATTTCTTCTTGATAAATTATATATTGTATGGTAATGCCACCAAAATTTATACCTGCATTATTTTAAAATATATTATGCAATATTTTGTAATCTAGAACATAAAATATTTTCTTGTTGCATTTTACTAATTTACAGAAGAAATAATATAAAGTCCTTAATTTGGGGAAATTTATTATTATTTTAAATAATTAAATATTGAAAATTTTTAGGAGGTCCCTTTTGGTTATATATGGTGAGACAAGATATCACTGGGAACATGCTGTCTTGCGAGAAGACATAAAAAAAAGAAGGGTATGCATAGCATACCGTGAGTTTACACCACCATTTATGGATAATGGAGAACAAAATGCTATAGGACGAGAGATAAGAGATATAGCCAAAAACTTCTGGGACCACCGGGAAAAATATAAAAATATTTTACATGAAATAGAAATAGGAAAAATAAATTTAATTTAATATTCTTATGGTAATTCCAGTAAATCTTTTTTATTATTTTTTCAATTCATTATTAGAAAAGTATTATGAAATAAAGTGTTTTATGTGCAGTATGTTGTACTTATTTTATTAATTACACTATTTAATATTACTAATGTGACATCTTAAATGTGTGGGTGTGCTTACTACTAATTTTAGTAATAAAATTTGCCAAAAGGAGGTGCTACCTGTATATAGATACAAGAGACAACTAAGGGAATGCAGGATAAGTCATTAGATAAGTAGAAAACCTTGAGAGAACAGACAATAGTGTTTTACAATACATACTTCATTGTACCTTCCTTTCCATCTACATAATGAGAAAAAATTGTGTTTAACAACAGAATTGAATTGTATAAGTTACAATGTGAGATGTATACTTTTGGTAGACAGACTATAGCCTGCTTATATTGCACTATTCATAATGTAGGTACATGCACAAAATATGTTATTAAAACTATAATTAAATATATAGTTTTACGATCGACCCACTCTTGCTTCATTCAGGTTTGTCCCCATGTAGGTACGCTTAGTATGGAATAGATTTATTTTTTCATATTTTTTTGTGAATTTTCCGATGTTTAAATAACTTTATTCTGCTATTCGGGGTGAAGACAACCAACAAAACAAAGATAATAAAAATCGGTTTAGCCGTTTTCGAGTTATGTAGTTTTTTTTTATGGGACTAAGGGGGCAAACGGGCAGGAGGCTCACCTGATGGAAAGTGATCACCGCCGCCCATGGATATATGCAACACCGCAGGACTTGCAGATGCGTTGCCGGCCTTTAAGGAAAGAATACGCTCTCTTCTTGAAGGTGGCCAAGTCGTAGCGGTTTGGAAAGACCGCCGGCGATAGCTGGTTCCACAGAGTGGTTGTGCGGGGCAGAAAATGTCTTAAATATCGCACTGTTGTGGAACGCTGGACATCGAGGTGGTGTGGATGGAATTTAATATTTTGGCGCGATGTCCGATGATGAAATTCAGCAGCCGGGATCAGTCCGAACAATTCCTCGAAACACTCCCCGTGATAAATGCGGTAGAAGATGCAGAGTGATCCAACATCTCTACGCAGAGCTAAAGGATTAAGACGATCGGAGAGAGCTTGATCGTCGATAACTCGAGCCGCCCTACGTTGAATACGTTAGTAGTAGATAAGTGTTGTAACAAACCCAACCTTATTTTATATATATATATATATATATATATATATATATATATATAGGTTTTTAGAATTTTTGTCTGTCTGTGTGTCTGTTACCGCATCACGGAAAAACCACTGGAGGGATTTTAATGAAATTCGGTATGATGGTAGCTGGTTATCCGGGTCAATATATAGGATATTTTTTATCGCGGGAAAATATCTCATTTCTGAGAACAAATACAAAAACTGCATTGTAAGAGTATACTAATATATAAAACCTAAGAATTTGGTTTTTGGTCATCTGAACGCGGTTTATACGTATCACAGATAATAGCGAGTGCTAACTGCTAAGTCTAACAGACGTACATTTTTAAATAGATACATATGTGTTGGGCTTCGATCAACAATACTACTAGATAACGTGTCACATAACAAAATCAAAGGTAAATTCTGTCCGCGCGAATACGTACTTATACAGCTTCATTTGTATACTTACGAACCAAAACAAATACCCGATTTCACCAACATCACTTAAGCTACCACCTACGTATGGAATCCCTAGCTTAAAAGGTCCCCTAAATTAAATTTTGTTTACTATCGTCAGAGCCAGTATTTCTAGTACATATATTTCGGTGGCATTTTATTATTATTATTTATTTTTAAGTGACCCCTAACTGTCGGTGAACCAGAAACTATCCCCTAACAGCCCCCTAACCATGCTTAGGGGATCCCTTAAATTTAGGTGACGTTGTTGAAATTGGCGAAAAGTTTTATAATAGTTTTATTTTTAACCTAATCAACACCATACTACCTTGTAATAAAGTCACAAATCTTCAAATTATCATCATACACTTACAATCATTTCGTAAGTTTTATAATCTTTATTGTAAAATTAACCTTATATTTAATAAACGAAAAGCACTTTTTCCCGTTGTTGCTTTGTGAGCTAAATCGTTGTTTTGTTTCTGTATGCTTCTTTGAATTTGCACATATATTGGCCGACCTAGGCCAACGTTTTTATCGGATTTAAAATTGTTCAAAATTTCATTATTATATTATTTCGTAAGTAAAATCTTAAAATATTGACTTAATCTACATGCACTTACCGAAAATAAGACATTCTGTCCGAAAATTTATTCTTCGCGCCATATTTTTGCAACTTTTAACTACACATTGCGGCATTGTGAACGTGCTTACGTTGGCAGTGTTTCAATAGAACTAATCGAAATATACGCTCACTTTTCAAATGAGCTGATATTTACCGAGACGGATTTCTTACGCCGAGCGACCCGATATCTAGTAGTATTGTTGATCGAAAGTGTAGGTATTCCTTTCATAAGTTCAATGTGCTTTATTTTATAGTATTTGAGGTTTTTTTAGGAACAGATAATATTTTCCTTTAAAAAGTATTTATATATTTATATTTAGTCTTTATTATTGTCTTTATTGAATATTACATAATATTTACATTGCGGCATTTAACTAGTAACAAGCACAGTACTACATATTTAGGTAATAGGAAAATGAGAAAATGAAATAAATATACATTTGAAAGAAAATTAAGTAATAATCCAATATCAGCTTCCTGCCAGCAAATGAAAAAATACTCCAATAAAATAATTTTGGCCATATAAGGGTAATTTAAGCTGTAGTACACTCGTGATGTGGAATGTAGATGCCGTCATCTTGATCTTTGCATTCTTTTCCACCTTTTTCTTCATGTTGACGCGTGATGATCATCTGCTCCTTGATGTTCCATGCTATAAGGCCTTTTTCACTCTTATATTTACGGATAACTCTAGCTAGCAGCAACGCGAAGATTATTCCAAGTAACTAAAAAAATAAATATGTAGGTACTTATTCATTAAGTACTTTTTCACAATTTAATTACCCAATCATTCTAAGACCAATGTTTAATGACGAATCTACCTACTTATTCGCCGATTTTATAACAGTATATACGGATCTAAAGACTAAACACGTTGTCTTTGATAAGTACTTAGATATATACCTAGACAAAAATAAAATAAACAGAACCATCAAACAAAACTATAAAGCTCAACCCGCAAATCACAAAAAAGTGTGCTGTGCTATTAATGATTTATGCCAGTTTATAATTTTAGATTTGTAACTTGTATTTTAATGTATGTCTGTACTCAGCCCTTTTTAACGTCCCACGGCTGGGTACGGGCCTCCTTTCAATACGAGGGGAATCTGTCCACAGTCCACCTCGCTGGCCAAGTGTGGGTTAGCAGACTTCACATGTCTTTCGAAAACTTACTAAGATCTCTCAGACATGCCGGTTTCCTCACGATGTTTTTCTTCACCTTAAGGCAAGTGGTAATCATGTTAAAAATAATTCGCAAATGAAAATATCAGAGGTGCGAGACCCGGAATTTGAAACCGGCTCACTCTGTTTCCCAAGCGAGCGCGTTACCACTGGGATACCACTGCCTTTGCATTCTTTATTTTAATAATATAAAATAATCATTTACCTGTATAAACATTACGGAGACGCCTAAAACTCCGATTACACTTGCGTTTTGTACAAACAAATTGATCAACGCATTCTTACAGCTGTTTGCCCTCATTGTGGTACAAAATTCGTCCCCTCTCACAACACAACAAGTTGCGGGCACCACCAACTCTATCCGGCCTACATCAACAGTAGTCGTAACTACTACCGTAGAGTGATTAGCTGAGAAGTCCATACCAGCGTAGTCGAGATAGGAATTGCTTCCGCAGCAATTTAGCTGTAATAAAAAAGGACATGATAAAATAAATAAATATGTTGGGACATTAACACACAGCAACATCTAGTTCCATGGTAAGCAACGAGGCTTATGTTATGGATACCATATAGTTGACACACTACACATATATAACTTTAAATACATACATATTATAAATATAAACGCCCATGACTGGAGTACAAACATTCGTGCTCATCACACAAATGAATGCCTGCAGCGGGACTCGAACCCGCGACCGCTGGCACAGCAAGTAAGGTCACTAGAGACTGAACCAAACGTGTCGTCATAATTATGAAGTATAATAATGAAAATGACAAGAATAGAGAGTGCGCTTGTGTTTGCACGTACACTTGTGCACTAAAATATCTCCTATATACTCCTGCGCAGTTGGCTAGTCTCAGTGAGACTCGCCAGCAGAAATCGGTCAGATGATCAAAAAAAAATTACATACGATTGCAAAACATGCTTCGAGTTCGAGTCAAAAATAGTTATTGATTTTCCCATTAATACATTTCAAAGAGCACAAAATGTCGTCAGCTTTGTGTCTATCCTCTTCCTGGTTTTGTCATATTACTGTCCCATCGGTCTATGAAACTGGATGGGATAAATAGTGCGTCCTGGAAAATTCGTTCAGGTGAGCATATTTCTTAGTTTTTACTTACGCTAACTTGGAGACGGTCGATCTCCATTTCAATTTCTGGATCCGAGGCATATTCCGATATTGGTATATAAATATAATTCTTTAAAGTCTCGCCGTCTAATGTGAAGGCTACTATTACTGCGACCAGCTTCACTATTAGCATTAATGATAAAATTAATGCATACTGAAATAGTAAAATATACCTATATGTTAAACGGTAATTCATCACCATTTTATTGTTACCTAAACATATCATATTCTTTTTAAGTAAAAAAGTTGTTAGGTATATATAATCTTTACGAGCGTGGATACACCGTTATGGGCACGGTCATGGGCATGCCCACAACCCTAATTGAGTTCGATAGACTGATGTTAAATCCAATGCCTTAATTACATTAAAAAAAAGCTTTTTAAAACAAAAATACTGGCGACTCTCCGGTCAACGTAGATGCGGTGGAGAGATTATTTTCTTTTCTGCGCAGAGTAAAGCAGGTACCTTTTAGGAATGTAACATATTGATCATGAGCACTCTACTCCGATACACTTATAATTAGCCAATTTTCGGGTGGCCGTGACCAAAACCTTTTTTGAGGACTGGATCCGCGCTTGAATCTTTATAATATAATCAATAATTTTGCTAGTATTGCGTAAATTCTAGATATCAGGAACATACGTACCAAATTAACCATGCATGTACTTTTCTTCAAGCTACCGAAGAATCCAAATAGGGTCACAATAAGCATGAACATTCCCAGTAAAATAGTCAACACGGAGGGAGTGAAGAATTTGCCGACTTTAGCGTCTTCATCGAAAAATGCGAACGAGTGATAGTTGCTGTAGACGGAGAAGCCCAAGACAATCATAAGCCCAGCGATCACCTGAAAGTATATAAGAGCAACAGTTTTATTATTTTACAAGATATTTTGCATAAGCTTAATATACTAAATATTGTAGCATACTTTTATGTAAAGAATAATATAGACAAACTTATGCCCGATTTCACTAACATCCCATAAGCTTAGGTGGTAGAGTATGGGATTCCTAGCTTAAAAGTTCCCCTAAACTAGCCCCTAAATTAAATTTCGTTTTACCATGGTCAGAGCCCGTATTTCTAATATCTATGTTTAGGTGGCATTTTAACATTTAGATGACCCCTAACTGTCGGTGAAACAGAATCCGTCCCCTAACAGCCCCCTAACCATGCTTAGGGGATCCCTTAAACTTAGGTGACGTTGGTGAAATCGGCCATTAGCATCTAAGCCGGTTACAAGGATATTAAAACTGTTAATTGTGGATATTATTAGGTAGTCTACATCGGAGTTTGCATGAAATCGCTAGACCATATCGCACATTGCAAACCATGAACCAGGCAAACTGTAAACTAAACTATCGGCAGTTTGTTTTGTCAATTTGAATGTAAGCAATAAGTGTGTGTGCGTACACACAGGTGGTAATTGTGTTATCCATTCACCCTTTTTCGCTCGATACCGAATTATTGGAAATCTTACATATCGTCGTACTACTACTTAAAATTTCATAATAAAAAAAACACGCAGTGAGACTTGCAGGCAGGATAAAACATGGCGTATGTGCATATGTCTCCAACTGCATGATACTATGTTCCTTCGTTAACTTGTTCTTATATTTTTAGTTAGTTTTTCACGCAATCGTTTTTAATTTTTCCAAATTATTTTTTTATTTATTATACAGCATATATATATTTTTTTTTTAGCATAGAATGAACATCAATTAGTTACTTACTTAAATGTAAATATTTATAAGAAAGAGTCATTTCGTATCTGTGATAAAAAATGTTTATCTAATGTAGATACGATAACATTTAAATATCTTAGAATATTTTTAATACAGTAAAAACTTGTAAACAAAATGTGAAAGCTAATAAAATGATAGATGTAATATATCAATAAAATTTAAAGTCTAAATAGGAATAATAGGATAAAGAAAGTACAGGCAGATTTTTTATGATCGTAAAGTAATATGTAACTAAGTTATTTCCACTTTAAAGGACAAATATAGGTAGATATTTAGTTAAAATATGATGAGTCTAGGCCCTAGGGGTTTCTATTCAAAATTTTCACTTTTCTATTTAATTTTTTTTAATTATCAGGTACCTACTACACATGTGCAAAATATACCTACACTCGATTTTTGTAGATGCTCCCCCCCCCGAACCACCATTCCCCCCAACCACCCACTCCACCCCCCCCCCCTCTTTATTATTTTCAAATTAAATAAAATAGATAACACACTAATCTTGATCTGAAATAATCAATTTGATATTCTTTTCCGAAAGTTCTTCCTTTATGAAAAACTTAAGCATTAAGTATAAGTATGATAATTTATTATAGGATTTTATGATTAATTATATCAATAAAGATATCGTAGTTTCCGCAAAATTCAAGAATATTTTAAAATTTTTCCTTTTCTCGAGAAAGTTTCGCATTTTTAGGGGGAAAATACTCTATAACTAATAGGTACATAATATATATAGTATGGGTACGCACAATACTGCATACTGTGCAAAATTTAATAAATATCCATCCAGTAATTATTACTTAAATTTTGAATATAAATTAATAATTAATAATATCAAATAAAATATTAAAAAATTAAAATTTTTTTTTATTACTTCACATATTACTTACAAAAAAATTAACGCACATAAAGACAGACATTAAAAAATGTTTGTGTTTTCTATAGTACTTTGCAGAGTCTGATGACATCATTACTCTTATAAAAATGTATGAACAGACATGACCTCCATGATTTCATCATAAGTAGATACTTATTATCTAGAACCTATAATACCTATCATATAGAAAACACATTAAAGCACCTATTAAAAAAGACTTATTCATAATAACAAACAAAGCCATAATGATAATGTTTTACGTTAACATAAAAATACTTACAATAAACATTGTAGTGATTGACAGTAACAGAAATCTTATAGATTTCATGTTATATTCCGTTTCAGTCTTCGTAAACTTCATATTTTGCGTATTTTGCGCATTCATCGTAGCACGCTCGGGGAAAACCATTCCATGGACTGACTGTTGGATCTATGTTATATATATTTATCACCGCTGCTATCCAAAGTCACTGATAACGTTCTTTACGGAAAATTTGACTGTAGATTAACACTTAGTCGATTATATTCACTTTGTGTCACGATTACACTTCTTTTGCTAATAATCCTATTTGTAAAAAAGCAAGAATAATGTGACATGAAATGACCGTCCAACAATAACTCAACGACTTTAGTGTGATAGGCACTTGTCTTGTCCGTATCTAAATAGAACTAAACACTTGAAAAGTTACTGTAATAGAAGTATTTACGCGTGCTATTCGTTTGTTCGTTGTTCAACGTAGCATTGCATTGTGCAAGTAAACAATTATGATTGACGAGGAAATAATCTGCTGTAACGTGGAAAGTCTTTAAGCAAATACTCGTAAGTCGTAAAGTTTGTACGTTTACAATTAGAATAAACTACAGGTAGGTATGCATAGTGAAAATATTATCACGGTATATATAGCGTATATACAGTATATACAGCGATGTTGATGTGTTTTTTTTTCAATGTATGTCTCTACTCTCTGTGTTGTTATGTTTGTTTCACCCGTTTGTTTTCACAAAAATCCTGTAAAGTTACATTAAATTCATTTCTCTGAATCTCTGGTTAAAAATAATAGGGAGACAACCAAAAAATTAAATAAATACGTTTTAGTCTAGTCCTAATATATTTAAGCAATTTTTTGTTGAAAAAAATCTTTATTTATTTAACTTTATGCATACTAATATTATAAATGTGAAAGTGTGTTCATTTGTTTGTCCTTCTTTCACGTCGAAACAGTGACGGATTGGCATAATTTTTGGTATGCAGATAGTTGGATGGCAGAAGTGACACAAGCTATTTTTTAATGCGAGAGATTATCTAATTCCCACCGAAAAACACGTTATATACAATCCAAAAGAATATTTATAATCAGAATTACTTGAAACTTGGTATTAATGTTCCTTAACACAATAAAATAAATACGTGTTTTAGCATTTTTCGAAATTCATCCTATAAGGGGGTAAAATAGGGGACGGAAGTTTGTATGAAATTTACCTTTTTAGAGTTTCTTTTGTAGTTTTAGCGCAAGCGACGCCGCGGGTTCTCCTAGTATTGTTATAATTTTTGCATAGCATTTTTAAGAGTTAAAAAATCTACCATAAAGAAAAAATATTTTTGTAAGATTAGTAAACAAACAATACACCAACAAATAACAAAGAACAAAGTAAGTGCAATAGTACATAATGAGCTGATATCGCTTATCAGACCTGACAAATTGTCCTACTAGGCGTTTTTTATTTCAATTTAACCTATTATAGGTAATTAACTTTTTGATGATTGTGGAAATTGTGCCTTTTAATAAATTATATTGTAAATATCTTGTTCCTTTTACTTAAAATGATTGATTTGGAGTTAACATAAAAGTTGTAGAGCTCAAAGGTAGAGGGGGAGAGGGGGGAAGTGATCCTGTGACGTCCCATTAAGACGAGGGAGGTTCAGTTGGGCTTTAGTGGGTAGTACTGGATTTACCCGTGTGTCCCACATTACAACTCGTATGTATGCCGGTGGTATGCCAAAATGCATTTCCCAAAAGTATCAACTAGAAGTTCCCTCCATATTAAATAACATTATACAAATTTTAAATACCTCTATATTTATTATAACCTCTATATTTAAAAGAGCAACTGTTGAGTTTCTCGCCGGTTCTTCTCAGCAGAACTGCTTTCCCAGCCGGTGGTAGCTTCCTCACGGACTGACTATACTGACGCTTTCATTAAATTGACGTATCAAAATTACTTGTAATAAGTCTAATTGAATAAAGTTTAGTTCATTTCATTTCAACGACGACGCAAAAACGACGGGGGGTTATAAGTTTGACGTGTCTGTTGTGTGTGTTTGGCATCGTAGTTCCCGAACGGATGAATCTGATGTTCCTTTTTGATTTAGTTTTTTTTTTGTTTGAAAAGTGAATTAGTCGGGAGTGTTCTTAGCTATGTTTGATGAAAATCAGTCCAAGATGGCCGGGGTTTTTTAAATGTTTAATTTATATTTTCTGTCCTAATATTTATATATAAATAATATATATAATATATATAAATATATCAGGACATTAACACACAGCACCATCTAGTTTCATGGTAAGCTGCGAAGCTTGTGTTATGGATACCAGATAGTTGATACATTATACTTATATAACTTTAAATACATACATATTATAAATATAAACATCCATGACTGGAGTACAAACATTCGTGCTCATCACACAAATGAATGCCCCCAGCAGGACTCGAACCTGCGACTGCTGGCGCAGCAAGAGGGTCACTACAAACTGAGCCAAACGTGTCGTCAAATTATTGATTTATGTAATTAATTTTGACAAAATTCTCAAAGGTATACCTACTATTAATTTGTATATTATGTAGATATAAACAAATCATAACGTGAACTATATATTTAAATTATATCATTTACATCTATACTTATTATAAAAATAAGTCCCCCGGCCGCGTCTTTCTGTCCTCCTGTCTGTCCTCCTGTCTGTCCTCCTGTCTGTCTGAACGCGATAAACTCGAAAACTACTGAACGGATTTTTATACGGTTTTCAACAATAGAAAGAGTAATTCTTGAGGAAGGTTTAGGTATATAATTTATTATGCTTTTATGTAAATTAGCTGAAATACGGCGACAAATGTTGAAGAGGTCGCAAAAAATCTCGCCAAATGGGAACTTTCCACGCGAACGCCGCGTAAACTAGCAAAGATACAGTTAAGTAATGTACTAGAGAATTCAAAATCTATAAAAATGCTACAAAAAAGTCCGCGATAGCATATCTCTATCTCTTACGGTTGACTTACAATAACCACTTTTATGTTAACATTTTTAATTAAAAACATTACGTTATTTTCAAAGTTATTTTCTTTAGTTCGGTATTAATCCTTATCCAAATGAATATTTTAGTTAGCTTAGTCATTTAATGCAGATTAAAATTGCTCTTTACACTAAATCAATCAGATGAATAGTTTTTGAGATATCGTTGTTAGAAGTAATTAGTAGCGAAACATTTTTAATGCTTGGCGAGCATTGAGATGCCTACGGCGAGTCCATCCCCTCTGCCCCGCATCGCTCGACCGCCTGCTCAAGCTATATAAACCGGGCGATGTAGCGCGCGATCCTAGGATACTTTTTACCGCGGGAAAATATCTTATTTCTGAGGAAAAATACAAAAACTGCAATGTAAGAGTATACTAATATGTAACACCTAAGAATTTAGTTTTTGGTCATCTGAACGCGGGCGGAGCCGCGGGCAATGCTAGTAATATATAAATAGCGTCAAAATAAAATTTCAATATTACTTTTTTATTTAAATTGTAGACACGTTGATGCGCGCGTAGGTATATTGATACCGCTATCACGTTTTGCGTTATCACTTATCAGTCTTTACTCTTTAGGTACAGAAAGGTAATTCTTATGTACATAATATATAAAATTAGACTTATGTTTGTTTTGACGTGGAAGTATTGCTAAGCTTTTTGAAAATAAAAAAAACGAAGCTTTTATCTACGAAGATGACGTATTTTGTGCTCGATGAGAATATTGATTAGTTACAAAATATAAAAACCTAGTTTCTGAGTTTTCTTTATTATCTCTTCACGTTCTTAAAGAACACAATATAGTTATAAAATCAGAATGAAAGTAATATTATTCCAAGCATACTCTGCGGTAAATGTGCTTTAAGTGTGTAATGTTATTAATACCTTCTTCATTGCTACATTCCTTACAAGCAAGACGATCATGTTAAATATAGAAACAGCGTTATAATGCAAAAACTAGACATACTAATTAAAAGGATATTTGTATCCGTCATATGAAAGAAAATCAAAATCACTCATCAGTTAAAGCAAAATAGTACGCTCCTATTGTCTGAAATTATAAAATTGAGACTTGCTATATGTACTTACTGATAAATGAAATGGATTGTATTCAGCCCTTTTTAATGTCCCACTGCTGGGCACGGGCCTCCCTTTAATACGAGAGGGATCTGGCCATAGGCCACCACGCTGGCCAAGTGCGGGTTGGCGGACTACACACGTCTTTCGAAATCTTGTTAAGTTCTCTCAGACATACAGATTTCCTAACGATGTTTTTGTTCACCGTATGATGAGTGGTAATCATGATGAAAATTATTGATATTCAGAATCCGCTTCATTCAGAGCGAGCGCGTTACCAGTGACTGGGCTAGCACTGCCTAATAAATACGTTATATATATTAAATGAAATACGTTAGTTTAATTAAATAATTTATTTATTTTAAATACATTTTGTGTTTATTATAATGTACGATTGTATTGTACTACCTAATTTTTATTTAGGTAAAATATTGTGTCAAATATAAAATACTAGCTAACTTTAAACTTTACATACTTATAGCAATCAACAATGATTAGAATTCAAGAAAAAATAAAATATATTAATGTACATTTTATATTTTACTTCTTACTGTTTTAAATTAACTTTTATGGTGAATAAATATACAACGATCCAGTTTTTCAAGTTTCATATTATATAACTTTTTAAATAAATAACTGGTGGGTATATTTTGGTTTAAAATCTCATTCTTATTATCTTTAAACGGAATGTTCAATTTCTATAAATAACTACTGTTAAAATATTATATAAACCTCTACTCCTAGACTTTTTTGTCGATTAATAAATATGTTCAATTCTCAACATTTTCTTGTACGGAATAAATTGATAACTTTGCTAATGAAACTGCATAAAAAATAATGAAAAAAAAAAGAATGATTTTTTGACTTGGTATAGGTATTTATCGACAATATAAACTCGGCTTAAGCGGTCTGTCCTTGGAATGGCACATACACAACAGGCGTGCTTTTCTCTTCTTTGGGGTTGAGAGTGGTGTAGGCGTTGATCATACGCTCCTGAATCTCCCAGCGCCTGCGCTCGCGCTCAGACTTCGCTTTGCGAATGGAACTGGCCAGCGAGAATGAGAAAATTATTCCAATTACCTGAAAATTGGACATAATACTTTCTTAGATTTACGCGAATATTTGACAATTTAATTTAAATAAAACTATCTTTTCGGATTATTTCGGGGATAGTAAATGTTAATTTTAATTACTTTTGTAAGCATACATTATACAAAAAAAATAGTCTTTACGTTTACCTAATCGTATTTTTAATAGGATAATTTATAAAATAGAAATTGCTTATGTCTTGTGTATGTGATTTGTAAATACGAGCCACTGCACATACCGCTCATGCAAATACCGTGATGTGCCCTAAATTGTTTTAAACGTTATCCTAACATGTAAATGATAAATATTTGTGTCTTGATGTAACTGGCACATCGTTCAATTCAAAATAAGTTTAATAATATTGTAAAAGTTAATGCATATAACTAACAACCGTAAGTGAAGTGTGTACTGTACCTGGATAAAGGCAATAGTCATGGCACCAGCACCAAGCAGTCCCGCGCTCTGGTAGATCAGGTACGTGATCCTAGGAAGGCAGCCATTCGCATACAGCTTTGTGCATTCATCGACTTCCTTATCGCCAATTACCTGAACAAAAATTCATATAAATAATATTGATGCCAAATAAACCCCTAGGTGTTACCTTCGATTTTTCAAAAGTATAGTCGGTGATTAGATTACCCTAATTACTATTTTCAAAACTAAAAAGGCTTATTAATCTTCTAAGTGATTTATACTTTGATGTTGATCGATTATTCGAAGCTGCTTCTGAGACTTGCCAATAGGAAATCTGCTCTTCAATCATAGCAATTTTCGCGATATATGCTTCAATTTCACCAATTATTTTTAGATTTAATTGTAAAAATTGAAAACTATTTTCATGGTATGCAAATGAATAAAATCAAAAAGTGGTAAGTTAAGTTTTTTTCTAAATAAACCTGGTAGTGTGTTTGTGCGCAACAAGAGAATGGCACGGTGATGTTATTGACGGCGATGCCTTGTTGGATAGTTATTTCACCCCAGTCCATGTAGCTGTCGACGCCGCAGCAGTTCAACTGGAAACATATACTATTTTGTTAAAAAAATATACGAAATGTAATACGAAGTATAAGTACAAAAATCTATATTATTAAAGCTAAATTATTTATATTTGCTAAATCAATTCGACTTAAATCTATACAGATAAATAAAATTGAAGTGTCCTGTTTGTAACGTCAAAATAAAAGCTTTTACTATATGTTTATGAAAGTATATTCGGTACTAATAGAAAAAAAAACAATTGTTAAAATTTTTGTCTGACTATCTGTCTGTTTGTTCCGGTTTATCTCCAAAATGGCTGGACCGATTTTGACAGGACTTTCACTGGCAGATAGCTGATGTTATAAGGAGTTAGACTACTTTTATTTTAAAAAAGAATAATAAAGAAATATAAAAATACAGAAAAATAATAATAATAGCTACTTTTATTTTAGAAAAAGAATTAGGGTTCCGCTCAAAACAATTAAAACGTACCTAGAGACGCACCCGAGTGAAGCGAGGCTAAGTCGCAAGTAATTTAATATTAGAACTGCAAATATTATGAAATTACTAAGAGGTAAGCCTAAACATAAAGAAAATAAGCAGTAGTAACTAGTAGGTATGACCTAATACTTTCTTAGATTTACGTGAATATTTGACATTTTAAATAAAACAGTATCTTTTCGGATTTTTTCGCGAATTTATTTTGATTTTTGGTTTCCGACGTTTCGAATGCTTTACAGCAACCATGGTCACGGGAGAGACTAAGGTGTTAGATGTCTCAAAGGTATTATATAGTTGTTACAGACAGACTACCCACAATTAACAAAATGAATTCAAAAAACGTTGGTGCCAATTTTCAGACCTGTTATGCATTGCATAACATTTCGAATGTTTAACAATTATATGAAATTTATCAATGTTTTGTAATACTCACCCTACTCTGGATGAAGTCGAAGCCCTCTTGCACTTCAGGGCTCCAATTATATGAGGGTAGGGTTTCTCTGAGGTTACTATCCAACATGTCAGATACTTGTGCCCGCAGGGTATAGGCAGCGATGGCGGCTGAGATCTCTAGTACCAGAACCAAGCTGAGTATCACTGCAAACTGGAATAAAAAATGATAAAAATAGTTCTATTTTCCTTTTAATAATACATATTTTGATTACTATTGCTAATATTTTAAGACGGAATACAACGTGAAGAAACCTATATAGGTATCTAATGATTAGTAAAGTCTGCCAATCCGAACTTGACCACTGTGGTAGATTATGGTTTGAGGGGAGGCCCACTCCGAGCAGTGGGACGTTATAAGTGTTAAATGAGAATTCAAAAATATTCAACATAAATATGCAACTAATTTAATTAACAATATAATATTTTTGTCTACATATCTATTGTGCTACATTTTTATACAAAAGTCAATGAATCATTGCTATCTGTTGATAACAGCGAAAAGGTAAGCTGATACTAAATTACTTGTTATTCACGTATTCGAGTTTGGGCGTTTTGAACAAGATGGTATTTATAAACTTAGATTATGGTTTAGTTAAATCATAGGTCTAATAAAAAAGCTGAGTAGATATTAATATAAAAAACTTTTACAATATTATTTAACTGTCGAAAAATGGATGCAAATTAATCAAAATATAATATTTTATAGGAATCGAGCCTGAATATGAATATGGAATAGATAATAGTGCAGATTGTTCACAGAGGTCACTCTGTTAATAAACTGCATTATAATAGTAACAGGTATCTGTACCAGGTGTATAATAGTGATAGCACAAACGACAATCCCTAGATTTGAGCAGAGTGAATCTAGAACTTTTTTATTTATACTTCTCTTACGCAGAAACGGCTTTTGGATTTTTACATAGAGATAGTTTTTAAGATACAAAAATATATACTTTAATCCATATGTGCTATGCAGTTTCTATGTAATATAAGTGTATTATATAAAATCTTAATATGAACAGTATAATAATAAGTAATTTTATATACTTACAATGTTAACTAAACAGGTGCTCTCCTTCAAAGCACCAATGCATCCGAAAAGAGAAACAAACAGCATGATGACTCCAATGACGATGATGAATGTAGCCGGTGAGAATAACTGGCTGTCCAGGAAGAATGAAACATCATAGAATATAGCGTATATTGTCGTCCCAACAGAGATTATCAAGGCCGAAGTTAACTGAAAAATATTGAAATTACGCTCTTTATTAGTCATCTATATCTATACTTATAATAAAATTGTAATTAAGCCGAATCTGTACATTAAATATTTTTTGGAAAATCTTATTGAAATAAACAGTATTATTGATACAGAGACCGAATCTATGGTTTATAGAATTCTTGTCTGTCTATCTGTTACCGCATCGCAGAAAAACCACTGGAGGGATATTGATGAAATTTGGTATGGTGGTAGCTGGTTATCCGGGTCAACATATAGGATACTTTTTACCACGAGAAAATGTCTTATTTCTGAGAAAAAATACAAAAACTGCAATGTAAGATATATATATATATATATAATAAGAAATATGAACGTATTGTTTTTAGTTGTTTGTTTTATTTACTTAATCATAGTAAGTATCTAGTACTTTTTCTGAATATCTATTTTCATGATAATAAAAATAACCCTTCTACTACTTTTACCACGACGCGGCGCGGCGGGCCGTCTTACTGAGAGTTTTCATCTGCTTGGGAGATATACAACACATGTGCATTCTCTTCTCGTTTTCTCTCAAATCGGTCTTTTTTACGCGTTTTAGAGGCACGATAGTTTAATACCGTCAATTTTTTAAGTCCGGGGTAAGTACTACTTAGAATTTCTTAACAGAAAACTCAATGACTATAATAAGCCCGACCTGAGACTCGAACTCGTCATGAGTTAGACCATCGCGGAGTTTAATATATTTAGTGAAAGTAATTTAAAAATACCAATAATAATTACAACACATTTTTGTCTCTCGCCCAGTAGTATAATAATATGTGAATTTTTTATTTTATTGGTACTAGCGACTCATCCTCGCTTCACTCGGGTTCGTCCCTAGCTTACTCTCTAATACAAACTTTAATCCCCATTTTCACCCCCTTAAGAGTTGATTTCCGGGATAAAAAGTATCGTATGTCTTTCCTTATTGTCCTTATCAATTTCATCTAAATCGGTTCCGTAGATCCTGAGATCACCCCCTACAACGTCACAAACTCACAATCTCACAAACTACCTCTTTATAATATTAGTATAGATGTAATCCCGAGTCCAAAACAAGTTTTAGTTAATTCAATGATAAATTAGAAATACGAATTTTAAATATGAAAGTGTATATATTAGTTAACCCTTTATCTATGCTGCAAAAGACCGCAAAATAGCGATTGCTTTTTATTCCGTAACGGAACTTTTAAATTTTCGAAAAGTCACCATATAAGTAGATCTTCTCTATTTATACAGCGTCAACTCTACTCTGATGACTTTGAACAGAAAGTTACTGCTAGTAAGCTCTTAATTAAAAGATTTTGTGGCTATCTTGATACGACCAATCTACAAACTATTTTATTTTTTTGAAATTTTAGTCTATCGCCCTGATCGCTAGCCTTATTGTACAGGCTACCTTTTCAGCTTAAGTATTTAAATATATATCTAGTTCTAGAGATAATGAACTGTCCTCGTCAGAAAGGTAATTAATTAATTAATGAGTGGGAAAATTCCGTTGTAATACAAAAACTACGCTGCAGGCTGTCGATTTTAAGTAAGTTGACCCCATAATTAATTATAAATTTAACATTTTCATTATGCCAGTCATTATTTGAGACATGATTTGTCCTGAAACGCCAAAGAATTGTTTTGGATTTGCCGATCGATATATTTTTATGAAATATATATTTTTACTCATATATTACATAAGGTTTTAGCTTTAGAAAATAATGGGACATAGTAGAGAGAGTAATATATAAAGAAGAAGGGTTTAGTCAACAATTAATGTGCTTGTAATACAGAAAGATAAATATGATAATAATCTAAAATCCAAATCACTTATCTTAAGGATTGGATTGTCAAGAAAAGAGAAGTTTCGAAAGAGATGAAGCGCAGGATCCACGGTCTTAAAAGCTTCAAAGCTCGGGCACATAATATTCTGTATGTACATAGATACACGTGATAATAAAATTTATTTTTATAACCTTATAAATATTCGCCTGAACTAACCTAGAAGTCAAATCCAGGACTCTCTTCCTCTCCTGACATACACGTTTGCGACTGGAGTTAAACCAACTAATCTAACTAGGCACTTAAGACAACAAGCATTTAGCTACAATACCTATATGTACTTAAAAATACTGATTTCACAAATAGCTTCGGCTACTATTTATTTTCCATACCCCTAAGTGATAAGGGTGGTCCACCCCAAAAAAAATGTAATGATTCGGCATTAAAAAATACATACAAACCTAAATTTTCACTAGGGACCAACCCGAGCGGAGCGAGGGTGAGTCGCTAGTATATATATATATATATATCGACGGGTGAAAGGCTATTTGGTTTAAGCGCATTTTCTTATATATATATATATATATATATATATATATATATATATATATATATATATACATATATATATAATCTGAATTTCGGAAAAGGCTCCAACGATTTTCATGAAATTTAGGTTTCGGGGGCAATAAATCAATCTAGTTTAGTTTTATGTCTGGGAAAACGCGTGTTTTCAAGTTTGCATGCGGTTTTGTTTCGCATTATTGCACGCAAAATATGGTCGCACGATAGGTATATATATATTCGCACGATAGGACATAAGCATCGTGGTCAAATTTACTTTTGTTTGTTTTTTTCGAAGCTCGGTCGCCCAGGTACTATAATTAAAACGTAAAAATGATACGTGTACGAAGCTATTAACATATTATATAGCTATAGATATGTTTAGAAAAATAAACGGACAAACAACAAGGAAAAATAGTGGCGTAAAATCATTTTAATCTAAAACTAAAACGCTAATATACAATAGCTTCATATTAACATGTATACTCATATTATAATCCATATGTACCTACATAAATACATTTTACATATATAGCTTGAAGAATTCTCTTGTATATAAAATAATCATAATTCAGCAATATCACTGCTAGGTTGGAGCTTTTCTCAACCCTTCTTTCCCTCGCCTCTTTATTGCCGTATGTAAGCTATCGTATTTCTCAACAACAGTAAATGTTTACATGAAATTATGAGTAGGTATTAAGTAGGTACATATACATACATATATCAAATCCCAGACGTAAATCGGATTTGAAATGAAATTAATATTAATGATAAATTAATCTTCAGCACTCCCATACGTGAAGATGAAAGGCAGTGATAGCCAGCAACGCGCTCGCTTGGGAAACCGAGTGAAGCGGGTTCTAATCCCGAGTCTCGCAACTCTGATATTTTCATGTGCGTATAATTTCTAACATGATCACCACTTGCCTTACGGTAAAGGAAAACATCGTGAGGGAAATTGTATGGCTGAGAGAACCTAGCAATTTTCGAAAGACATGTGAATTCCGGCCAACCCGCACTTGGCCAGCGTGGTAGATTATGGCCTGATCCCCCTCGTATTGAATGGAGGCCCGTGCCTAGCAGGGAGACGTTAAAAAGGACTGAATACATACATATATACATAATGTTAGGTAAAATAAAAGAAAATTTTTGAGTTCAAGATGAGAACTTAAATATTACCTATTCTGGATATTTTCTGAAGATGAATTAAAACACGCCTAGCTAAGTTTTATTGCTATTCAATGGCGTATATTAAACTCTCTTCGACATAATTACCTACTTACTACCTATAAAACAAAATCTAGTTGATTCAAGTAAAGAAAATTACTAACGCAAGTGATACCGTGCGAAGTAGTAAGTATTTGTACATACAAAATAAATGCAGGATTGTAAAATTATAATATTGACTTTTACACATCACTACATAGTATAAAACAAAGTCGCTTTCTCTGTCCCTATATCCCTATGTATGCTTAAATCTTTGAAACTACGCAACGGATTTTGATGCGGTTTTTTTTAATTGATAGAGTGATTCAAGAGGAAGGTTTTAGTATATAATTTGTTTAGTTTTTGTATACATTGGCTAAACTATAACGATATTTGTTGGAGGTGTCGGAAAAAATAAGACGCCTGGGAGCTTTCAACGAAAACGCTGCCTTTGAGATATAACAAAATAATGTATGGTGGAATTGTGTATCTTATATAGGTCTACAGAAAAGTCCGCGATGGCATATGTCTATCTCTTAAGGATAACATACTATACCCATTTTAATTTAAAACGCCGTGAGTCGCTAGTGTACAAATAAAATGTATAAAACACTCACATAAACTAAAATGACCTTGTGCAGTCGCAAGGACACAGTGGTCGGCCATAGCTATTGATTTTCTATGCCGACATATTACCATATACAATGTTTACATATAACTACAATGTCTAATTAAGGATAACACGTGAAAAATGTCAATCGTCATATCTATACATATAATAAAATTCTAACTAAGTCAAATCTGTACATTAAATATTTTTTAGAAAATCTTATTGAAATAGACATTATTATCGATACAGAGACTGAATCTATAGTTTTTAGAATTTTTGTCTGTCTGTCTGTCTGTCTGTCTGTCTGTTACCGCATCACGAGAAAACCACTGGACAAATTTTGATGAAATTTGGTATGATGATAGCTGGTTATCCGGGTCAACATATAGGATACTTTTTACCGCGGGAAAATATCTCATTTCTCAGAAAAAATAAAAAAACTGCATTGTAAGAGTATACTAATATGTAAAACGGAAGAATTTGGTTTTTGGTCATCTGAACGCGGGTGGAGCTGCGGGCAATGCTAGTATACATATATATTCTAACGTCGAATCAAAACAATACAATTTATTAAATAACTCAGCAAACATTATATTCACAACGGAGTGTCTATTCGTCGTTCATAAAATATATAAATTACTAGCGACTCACCCTCGCTCCGCTCGCCTTCGTACCTAGTTACGTTTTAACGTTTAGTATAGATTTCTCAGAGATGAGATATTTTACCGCAGTAAAAAGTATGTTGACCCGGATAACTGGGTATCATCATACCAAATTTTATCAAAATCTGTCCAGCTGTTTTCTCGTGATGCGGTCAAAGATAGATAGACAGACAAAAATTCTATGAACTATAAGTTCAGCATCTGTGTATAACTATGCCGATAATAATGATCATTTCAATGGATTTTCCAAAAAATATTTAATGTACAGATTCGACTCTGTTACAATTTTATTATATGTATAGATAAGGAAGGACAAATAGACTAATAAATAAGTAAGAAGAACAAGTAGCTCGCCTCAGCTCGGTAGGTTATAGTTTTTTTTGCATACAGAAACTCCTGCACCTAAAAATATTTTTTTTACCTTAAAAACTCTTGAAATAAAAATCGTTGGAATTTAAAAGAATAAGTTTCCAGCTCTGTACCTACGTTAAGATTTTTTTGTATTATAGAAACTCCTGCATCTAAAACTCACTTATTTACATTAGAAAACAAAAAAAGTGGCGAATATTGGTACAAACCGACAATAGTCGGACGAATAATATATTTTTTATTCATCAGACTATCGGACGAATAGCAACAGCCTTCTTTATATTCATCATATTAAAGTCCGAATAGCAACACAATTCTACCCTGCACAAGAAAAAACTAAAGAAACGCCTATTCCATTTATATAAAAGTATATTTTCGATTTTTTTTCTATATTTTTTTTATTTTTGATTCCTGATGTTGATTGCTTCACAGCAAACATGGTAGCGGCCATGAAATTGGATCATGAAACATTACGAAATAATAATTTCGAAGAAGAGAAAAATGACACCAGAGTACCAATTACCATAGGTACTAAAAATAACACAGCGAGCGTTATGTTTTCTTAGAATAAAAAGTGCATCTAGTTTCGCATCTTAATTTCAAAAACATTTAAGATAAGAAACGTGAAGAAATATCAGCAGTGTCTCCGACATATTATGTTATGACTTGTTTTATACTAGTTGCGAGTCTTGCTACGTGTATACTACTATACTATACTATATGTTTCTTCATCAACTTGTTCTCATCTTTTTAATCCCTCCATGACCGCGGACACGCCGGCGTTACTGTTAACAAGAGATTTCTTAGAAATTTAAATAATTATTTATAAATTTACCTACTTGCAGGTGTATTAATCAAAATGTATGATAACTATAACCCAGTGAAGCATTCAGCATATGTTTTTATGAACATCTTAGTTAATTCTCAGTTAGTTTTTACCTAATTATCTAAGTTTACAATATAATCGAATTTAATAGTATAAAGAAAAAATATCCCACATCGTACAAACGAGTCGAAAAATTAAAGTGTCTTATATATTTTCTGAACCTACATATTACTTACTTTACGAGTTACGAGTTACGACAAAATACTACGCAATAACGAAGTTCATTTGTAATGTGTACTTTTCTTACAATTTCAAAATGCTTAAAATAGATACCCTTGAATTGCTAATATTTGCATAAACACAAACTCCCTAAAACGTAAGTCTGGGTTTTATGTTCGTGGTTACAACCATCATTAAAAAAATAATGCCCCATACTTAATACTTTTAAGTACATATGTAAATTAAAAATAGTTAGGCTTTTTTTTATTTGAAATATTGAATTGAAACTATAGTATGCTTCTTTACATTATATATATATATATATATATATATATATATATATATATAAATCGTTTAAATATTCACTTTGAATTATTCATTACCATCTCAAGTCGTCTCTGTTAATGGCTGGCGTCATTAAGAAAACAATAGCTGCTGCTAATAAAAATAGTGTCAAATAAAACGTTAACAAATTTGTTAGTAACCAGCCTTGACAATTATAGTACCTACTGTATATTATACCTAATAAGGAATTTTCCTTTCGCTTTAGCCCCGTACCGCCGACCTCTGTCTTAATAGATAGGACAAATTGTACAGAAATAAAGAATCCTTATCGTCAATCAAATTCGTGGAAAAGTTAGCTAAAGTTAAAGGGACACTCATATTCCTTTATAGTATATTGATTGATTGATTGTTAAGGCCTTTTAAAGAACTAGTTTTTGCAAGCGAATCCACTCGTGATTTAAAAAAAATACAAACTATAGATAGACGGACGAACAAATGATTTTAATATAAGCTCGATAAGATAACATTCTAATTACAGAGACACATTAATTATATTTACATATACGCATAGTAGGTATAACTTGTACCATAGTTCGCCCGTATAAAAATGTATTTTTTTATTGCTAGGTCGTTGCACATGCAGATAAGATCCCTTATAAAATTCTAAATAAAACAATCGAATAACTCGATTTACCTACTCTTTGTCACAGGTAATTCTAGGTATAAGTAGCTTTCCTACTAATGATGTCATATACTAATCTTTTGTTCTGCCAGTCATTATCACTAGCGGTCTCATTTTCATCGACCGCAATTTATACAAACAACAATTACAATGCCAACGAGAGACTATTTTTGTATATAGTTTTCACAGTGCAGAAACCTTCATATAAAAATAGAAAATATTTTATATTCTTCCAATATCTATACTATCAAAATGTTCTACATAAACGAGGATTTAAAATATTCAGATATGCCACATCGCACAATAGATAAGGGTATCCAACAAAAATATGTAATTAGTACGCAATACTGAAATCTTACCACGAAAATGGCCGTAACACACAAAAGCATATACTTTATGCACTTCATGCCGACTTCTAGATTGTTCTGCGCCATTTTATCACTTTTTAACACCTTTCTTCACTGGCAGGTTGAAATAAACTGAAAATAGCGGCACTTCAGGGATTGTTATCAAGGCGATACGATAACGCGCTCGGCGGTGACTACGCGAACAACGCAGCAAGTCGATTCTTTAACCAATTAGTGTATGTAAGCGATGGAAAATGTACCGTCACGTAAGGTTTGAACGACCTTGTGTTTATTGAATGTGACGTCACATACTACTGCTACCCTCGTAATAAATATATTTAGTCACTGTCATATAGGGCATGCAAATTAAAATATTCTTTATTGTCCCGAGATAGCACTGGGCCATCGTCATTACGTCAATAACAAATTAATATCTAACAATTAAACGAGTTTCGATAATGATATCAATTAATTAATGCGCAGGAGTTTCAGAATTTTGAATTTAGTTTAATTTAAATATTTTATTATTATTTTTTAGAAATTTTTCGTTACATGTAGTGTAACTAATCTCGTTTTCCGCTTTTCGACTTAATTAGTCTAACTAAATAGTATGAAATGATTTTTTTATCTACATTGTAACTAGACCAACAAAATATTTCTTTTGATACTGACAAGCAACTTAGCCACTCAACGCTCATTTTTTTATTTTAAATATTGTTTCGAATCGAATACATGTGGGTGAAGTCACAGGCAGTAACTAATATTAAATAAATTAATACTAAATAGGATAAAAGTCTAACACCGCAAGCAATGCAGATATTGCAGACTCGAATAAAGTGAGCACTTTTAAGGTTTTCAGTGTACTGTTAGATAATCTTTTAGAATATGTAAACTATGGGAACAGTACCTATAATAAGTATTCAAGCTTCCTCGTTTGAGATATGATAATGTTTAACATCTGTTATTTATACAGATAGACTTATATGAAGTTGATTAATTAAATATTGATTTTCCCTGTATATAAAACTATGAATCACAATATATCGTCGTTTTTCGCTCAATTGTCAAAAGCCAAAAGGCAAAAACGAATCCTTTACAAATTCGACAATTTTAATGTTTATATGTCACAGCTATTTTACTCAAGACTCTTGGAGCTAGATTGCACGGTAGGTACGTATGTCATGAAAAGCGCTAGACGATTGTGCAGTCAAATTACAAAAAAAAGTGAGTTTGTGATTGACACATGCTAGAAGCGAAACTTCAGAAAAGTAACCTACGAGAGAATGAGATAAATATAGAGTATCAGGAGTAGGATAATTATAAGGTTTATTTTTTTATAATATTTTTACCAAGTTTTAAAGTTATTTTACATTTTCAACCGACTTCAAAAAGGAGGAGGTTCTCAATTCGACTGTATGTTTTTTTTTATGTTTGTTACCTCAGAACTCCGTCATTTATTAACCGATTTGGACAATTTTTGTTTTGTTTGAAAGGGTATACTTCCAGATTGGTCCCATTTAAATTTCAAAAAAAAATACCACCCCTAAGGGTGGAAAAACAACTAATGATGAATTTAACCTACTTCTAATAGTCATATTGACTTGAAACTTTGCAAGTATTTCTGTTTCCGTTGATATTACACTGGTTTGGTGTTGTTGACCTGATCTGATGGCAAGGCCAGAAGGTGGATAGGTGGAACTCTTCAACGGCTAATAGTAGATACTTTGAGTTTGGGCTTATTTTGTTTGATTTGACAAGCCTAACACGTTAGAATCCTTACTTTGCTACTACTGTCTACACTAAAAAGGGAAAAATAAAAACTTTTTAACAAAAAAATAAAAACCGACTTCAAACAAAAGCACTAAAAAGTAAAAAATAACTAATTGGTAGTTTTCATTTACTATACATACCTAATCAAATATATTCGAAGTCGGTGTGCTTTGGCTAAGTATTATAATAAGTATAAATATTTTCGAAATCGGTGCCAGCCCATACAAAGCAAAGCATAATACTAAAAATTACGGTTATAAATTGTGTAACTCACTGGCGATCATAAAAATACCTACTGAATATAAGAATATAAGCAAGGAATATCTCGAAGTTTTATAAGGGATCCTACACTTTATACGCTAGTGCGGTGCCGATTGGTGGAGAATCGGCAAATATCAGAGACATTCCTTGCACATCACCAGTTGATAAAAAAAGGATGAAGGTAAAGAGATGTGGGTGGATGGTTGGCCTACAGCGATATCATTCACTGATATCTTTAAATCAAATATAATCCTAAGTATTTTAATTTTTAATTGAATTTTAAGCACTTAAAGTAAAATAAACCACTAGTGACTTACCCCCGCTTCGCTTAGATACGTTTCTCTTACCTAATTGATCTGTGTACTAAACATACAATCGTCCAGCCGTTTCAATGTGAAATAAGAAACACACAACATACAAATTTTCGTAATTTTTTTTGCAATGGTTTGTAAGTGCGTTATTTCGCAATTATTCATTCATTCAGTACTTTATCGCACATACAAATGAATAGATGCACGAATGGCGGCCTAAACGCTATTAAAACAATGTCTAAAAGCTACAAGCTAGCCGTGGAAGAAATAATCTAGGAGTGAATAGATATTAATAAATTAAAAGTAAAATTACATTTTTAAATACAAGTGTTTATTTTAATTTGTGAAAAAGAAGAAAAATGCGGTTGACCGCTGAGGAGATGTCTCATTTAGAGCCAACTCTAGACGCAGCAGCCAAGTCGTAGTAAGTACATTTTAGAACGAAGTATAATAGTCGAATGCGTACCTATATCAAATTTCGTGTCTGTCTGTTCTGTTGACCGTTGAGAAGTTCCTTCGGCTGGAGACAATGCTAGGTGGATAATCAGGTCATAATTGTTATTAGAAGTCATTGTCATCGGAGCTGAACCAACTGTACAATTTCAAATCTGTAGGATAAGAGGAAGTGGTTCTAATTCAGTTTGCAAAATTTGACCAATACCAACATACCCACTAACAAATATTGCAAATTAAAAGCTTGTAAAAATTTGATTAACTTCCTGTTTTTCCTTTTTAACTTAATAAAAAAATATGTTTATAAAACAACACCAAAATGATGGAAGTGAGTAAGAATTTAGAGGATATGTGAGACTCGGTATCTAATAAAACGAAATATGTTCTGCTATTAAAAGCCAGCGAATCTACCTTTTGTAAGATGACTGTCATACGTTCATATTTAAGAGATATCAAGCATTAATGGGATACACTCCCAATATTTGCAACGCACTCTGCTCAAACGTAAATAAAATAGGCTGACATATGAATAGTAAAACTACAAATATAACTACCAGGCTGTTATAACATACTTTATTATTTAACTTAAAACATAATATACACTTTTAAATAAACAAGGAAATGCCAACAAAACGAATGTAAAAACATTAAACAATAAAACTTTACACGTAACTACATGGTAAATATTTAGTGTTTATTAACTTATAAATTTTGATTATTATTAGTATGTACAGAATTATTCTCATCACTCTTTATATCTACTATTGTTTCCCACCATTAGAACATCAAACAAGAGACCAGTCTTTCAGTTCTTATATTTTATATATAACCTTTTTGACGAAAAGCTTTAAAAGCCAACAAAATTGCAAGAGAAACTCTATGATATTTTTCATACAAATGGCTACTTCAAAGGATGGTTTCTTTTTTTACACTATTGAATAAATTAAATATACTTAGATTAATTTAATAACTTTTTTGGAAATGATAAATGAACTTATTCTTATGAGTAAGATGTTACTCCTCAGCTTATCATCTCTTTGATGTAAATAGATATTTATCTTCTCCACACGTACCTAAACACTTGAAAACAGACACTTTGGTAAGAAAAATAAAATTAACTAAACATTAAATAAATAAAATGGTGTCAGTTAAAATATATATAAATATTAAATTTGTCTTAATTAATTATATTGTTAATTAAATAATTATTAGGGGAATTCCCGCTCTTTTCTTGTTATATTCGCTAACCATAATGCACCTGCTACCGCGAGTGCCTGGAATTAGAACAAAAAGTTAAACACATAAAAATTATAATAATATAATTTAGCAACATTTGTATTTATACTCTAAACATATCATCGGTAAGTATTTCTTTTTTATGCCGCTGACAACTGCAGTCAACACAAACACAAACCTTCTATTCATAATTCTTTAACACCTCCAGTTAATCTCCTAAGAAATTAATTAAATTTCTAAGAAATCTATTGTTAATTATAGCGCTGGCGTGTCCGCGGTCGTTGAGGGATTAATAGTCTATCACAACATATTTTATAATTACATATACAATAAAAACCCGAAAAAAAATATTGAAATCCATCTAGTAATCTTCACAGGGTAACATAATTTTAACGTTAAGTTTTAAAAAATTAGAACATCTACTACGCGCTTCTCTTTTACTACGTAAATTATATCAATTTACTAGTTAAATAGATCGCGTATAGACAGACAGTAGGTACCTAAATATAGTTCATATAAAACATTCTAGCACTTAATATATGTATACCTGCATTAAAACAAGGCATATTCCAGATATTCCAATAGTACCGGCATGGTCTTGAACCCAGTTGCCAAATGCTTCTGAACAACCAGTAGAGTAGGCTAACGTAGTGTTGCAGACGAATGTTGCGATTGAACCATAAACGTGGCTGCAGCAGCTCATGGGGACTCCTCCCAACTCATTTGTGTTAAGGGGAGTTAACCAATCACTCGAATTTATAACACCACAGCAGGTGAACTGAAATTTTAGATTAATATGGGTATCCCATCCATACTAATATTATAAATGTGAAAGTTTGTACGAAATGAATGGATGGATATTGGATGGATGTTTGTTACTCAATCACGCCAGAACGGTTGAACGGATCTGGGTGGAGTTTTTCGGGTTTTGGCGATTAAACTAATAGATATTGGCTTTAAGAATAATGTTTACTTAACAATTAAAGTATTTAACAAAAAAAAACGTTGTTTTACAATTGGAATTCATTTAAAATTGTTTACAATTAAAATGTTCGTTCCTCTCGTATTTCTGGCAGCATTAACTAAAATATTTATAATAGGTATTTCAATATCATGTGCCATATGTTTCATAACAGCCGTAAAGAAAATATTTATAACTAACGACTCACTCTCGCTTCGCTCGGGTTCGTCTCTATGTAATTCTTTAAATTGACAAACTCCTTTATTTATGAACTGATTGAAATAAAACGAAACTAAATGTTAAGTGAAGCTTACCGCAATACATTAGTAAAAACTGCAACCAAATCGGTAAAGCCGTTTCTGAGATTAGCGCGCACAAACGCACAGACAAACACAAAAATTCTGAAAATCGTTGTTTTAGGTTCTACTTAAGACTTCTAATAATAGTTTTTCACAGATATCTTCCATGTACATGTTATGTCCAGACAGTAATTAGTTACACTTTTATTATATGTGTACATATAGATAATACATATGTATAGATAATAATATATTAAAATTTTGGTTTTGATAACTTTCCATCTCCCTTCATCTTATATACCTACCCCTACATTCTTTTATAATCTACACATATAGATAATAAAATTCCAACTGAGTCGTATCTGTACATTAAATATTTTTTTGAAAATCTTAGTGAAATAGTCATTATTATCGATACAGAGGCCGAATCTATAGTTTTTGTCTTAGAGTTTTTGTCTTTCTGTCTGTCTGAGAACGCATCACGCGAAAACCACTGGAAAGATTTTGATGAAATTTGGTATGATGATAGCTGGTACATATAGGATACTTTTTACTGCGGGAAAATATCTCATATTTATACTAAATGTATCACCCATTTAAACATTCTAGATTAGAAAGTTTTTTTTTATAATTTTAAGAAAATTAAATACTATCACTTATATTATAAAAAAAATATTATATAAGTAGACTAGCGACTCACCCTCGCTTCGCTCGGGTTCGTCCCTAAATTGATTCCCCATGCAAATTTTCATTCTTCTCACGGGATGATTTCCGGGATAAAAACTATCCTATATCCTTCCCAGGGTCTCAAACTATCTTCTTACCCATCTAAATCGGTTTAGTAGTTTCGGAGTTAGAGTTAGAGTTAGAGTTTCGCCTACCGTTTGTACCCAAAAAACAAACAAACAACAAATCAAATCAAATCTTTCCTCTTTATAATATTAGTATAGAATATAGATAGTTCTTGCTTCTTTTATAAATTGTAAAAATCTAATCCCAAGTCGTAACAAAGACAATATAAGTAAGTTTAGTAAGTAATGATCCTGATAATGACCTAGAACGAACCTTAACTGCTATGGACTCTTGCAAAATAATTTCAGGTAGACTTTTCCATCATGGTTTTCTAAACGATATCATTCAAAGTGCTCTTGCCACCTTCACCTCACATTCACATTTCTGCTCTTATTGAGCCTTCTGGTATAAGTCAAAATGATAGCAATGAGACCTGATGGTTTATCGCTGGTTCCTTGGGAAAAGAAACGGGCCGTTTTGTGGGACACTACCTGCGTTGACCCATTGGACCCGTCCCATGTCACGGCATGGGAGCCACGGCGGCAAGGGCTAAACTACTCAAGTTGCGTAAATACACCTCCCTTACTCAAAATTATGTTTTTATATCATTTGCTGCAGAAACCCTTGGCCCAGGATCAAAGGTCAAAGTACTAAACACTTCTTAAAAGACATAACACCTTGTCTTATCGCCTCTATTAGTGACAGGAGAGCTGGGTCGATTTTCACCCATAGAATCCTCATTGCCATTCAGCGGGGGAAAGCGTCAGTATTCTCGCCAATATTCCATATTATATTTGTAATTTTCTTTATAGTAAGTAAATGAAAGAGTCAATAAATTCAGATACAACGATTTTAAAATATATTAAATTTTTAAATTATTTGCATGTTAAACGCACTTACGTCAGTTTGCACTTCATCCCACAGCTTAGTAACTTCAAAGCTCTTGTCTACTCCATATAAATCCATACTACTGATAAGCTGCTTCTGAACTAATGCTACAGTGTTGCCTCGGAGTACGTACCCCGCAATACACGCGGACAGTTGGAATATGAACATCAAGATCATAGAACCAACAAACTGGAAAAATAGAAATAGGCATACATTAGAATAATTTAATAAATTATTATATAGGTATTTACAACTAAAATAATTTTTGGTTTCATTTATTAAATTTAAATTATACTTATAATATAAATAAATTGTAATGTATGGAATTGATCAAAACGAATAAGCCTAGGTAAACAAAGTTTTTACGAGTAGCCATTAAGTCTGATTTTAACCTATGTTATAATTGTTGTGGTATCTGTTTTTTGTAAACGGGTATATGAAATCCAAACATAATACAATAATTTTATAAACCGAGATTAATATTATAAAAATTCCAAAAACCGGTCTTCAAGAAACTAAAAAATCTAATTTGTAAAAAAATATAATTATAAATAATTATTATCCTGAATTTACAATGAATAATTTGGTAGTTATGAATATTCCTTATCTAGTCAATAATTTTTAAATTTTATATCTTGTATACAGAAGAGTTCCTTTACGAGGATAGGATAGTTTTCGTCGAACTTTACATGAAACTAGTCGTACACGTTGTTTTGGTAAGGAGCGGAAAGGATCATAAGCCTATGTCCGTCTCCCAAGGAGCCATTCAAATATAACGTAAGCAGAATTTTAGTTTATTAACCCCTCCCTCCCCCTTGTCAGCAAAAGTAAGCAAAGCTCTTACTCCCCCCTCCTATGCTTACGTAAATATTGGTACATATATTTTTTAATCTGTTCAGGTCTTTATTGTTATTCATAAGCAAAATTGCTAAATTTTGCAGAAAATACAAAAAATTTAATAAATAAATATTGCTGACGTAATCACCATCCAGGACACCCCCCCCCTCCCCGTCCCCTACGTCATCAAAAATAAACAAAACAAAGACACAACCCCCCTCTCCCCTCTTTGGTGCTTACGTAATATTTGAATAGTCCCCAAGATGCAATCTATGTCCTTGCCAAATTTTATCAAAATTTGTTCAACGGTTTAAGCGTGATATACTAGATATCTAGATAATACACAATTTCACATTTGTAATATTAGTATAGATTTTCCCCATCTATGAATTTCAAACATAATTTAATGGGGGCAATTTGCAAGAAAAAAAGTGTATCGATTACAGCTGTATCTATTTCAATATAACTATTTAATTAATATTATCTACGCCAATAATGTTTAGTCTAGAAATTAGAATCGATGATAGTATATATTCTATTATGAAAATAGGTCACCGTCGTCGCTGAGACAATAAAAACTAATAAATACCAACTAAATTGGGACATGCCCGCACCTGGCGCACATTACAAACATAGTATGTATTTAATACAAACAAATACACTGAAGACTAATTATGTCATTTTTGACTTATTTTATGTAATAAATTTACTTTATTATAAATTCATATATATATTCATCAAAAATATATACATATTTAAATATATAAATAATAAGTAAATAAAAGTCATTAAGAATTAATTGAACTTATCTACTATTACAACCAAAAGTCAAAATAAATCCACGCAAAAATTCGAAAACATAGTGTTATTTAAAATTTTGCCTCATCCTTCATAAAGTTTTTTAAAATAAAAATACCTGTGTAATCTGTGCTCACTTACCGCCATTATCATATAATAATTTTCCATATAAGCACCATAAAATCCAGCGAAGGAAATGAGGAAGATGATGATCCCAGTAGCGATGCAAAATGCTGGGAGAGTGAAGAATGTCTGTGACAAGAATTCCTGGTAACCATTGTATGCAGCTTGAACAGAGCTACCCACGGACAGTATAATAATACCAGTTACCTGAAAATACAATTTTCTATAACACTTCTTCGATTATTATAACACTTTCATTTCACTTTCACTTACCAGAAACAATAAGTTCACTGTAACTAAAGTATATTTGACTGTAGTAAAAATTTTAGCTAGCATTTTGGCGCAGTGAAACAGCGCGCTTCCACGTGACAAGTAAGATGTAGTTTTCTCTGGTATATTTTTATCACTATTATAATCTTGATAAGGAAAACAAGCGAATTTATCTCGCTCGGGATTCTGCTACGGTTTGATTATCCGTCATTATTGTGAAGTGTTACGACCTTCGATGTATGGAATTCACTTTCCGTCCGTTTTGAAAAATCTTAACACTAATTTTGTAATGATAGCGGAATTTAAAAAACAATAATAAATTCATATATAATTAAAATTTATTGAAATGATTTATTGAATATATAATATTTATTGAAAAGATGATAAATCTTGAGTGCTTTTTGAAGTATCAATAATTACACATAAATATCGCTACTTACTCAATTTTATTATTTAATTCGAAACACTAAACCCACAGTATCGCTTTGCACACACGCTTTGTTTCCATACAGGCGTTCAGTTTACGATAAGGGTACTGTGTGGGGTAATTAAATAAATGCACAATACGTTATTATTCTCATTTTTATCGTTTAGTGCCCTGTTGACTTCTGTAGCTGCCTACTAGTAGAGTTTAGTGAAATAATTTTGTAGTAAAAATTCACTATTGCTTGATTTCATTTATTAAAAACTATGTTTTTAAATTATAATACCTCTTTTTGGTCACAACTTTGACTTAATTTACCTAAGCTGAGGCAGTACTAGATCAGTGGTAACGCGCTCACTTGGGAAACTAGATGAAGGGAATTTAAATCCCGAGCCTCGCACTTCTGATATTTTCGTGTGGTAATCATTTTCAACATGATTATCACTTGTCTTATGGTCAAGGAAAACATTAGGAAACTTGTATGTTTTAGAGAACGTGGCGAGTTTTCAAAGTATTTACGAAGTCTCCCAACCCGCATTCGGCCAGCGTGATAGACTAGCATGATCCCCCCTCGTATTGAAAGAAGGTCCAGCAGAGCGACTTTAAAAAGGTCTGAATATATACCTAAGCCTGTGTCTTACTACATTTCTTTTTTAAATATAGCTCATTAGACAGTAACTCCGACAAATACACATATCAATTGTATCACAAACATAAATTTTATTAGACTCAGCCAGAACTAGCCACCTAACAGCTCTCATTTAACACATTGATTAACATACCAGTATTACCTGCTTTACATTCCTCAATTGAAATTATCACTTGTTAGATCTTTATTCTTAGGTACAACCTACAATATATTATACTGTATCCCAGAATTAACTTCCAATATAGACAAATTACAGTATTTATAATAACTACGTATTAATTAACTATTAATTTACCATTAAGTATAAATAATAATAATTGTTACGGCAGTGGTAGCCTAGTGGTAACGCGCTCTGCGTAGGTGCCCCAAGGTCCTATACCTATTGTCCGAATGAATGATACTTAATTGTCCTATGATGAATTCCTATTAAGAAATCCTTATTAAGAAAAATAAATATAAATTTTTAAAAACTATAATACATGTACCTACAAAGTTTACTTTTGTTACTGTTTTATAATTACAAATTAGACGGCGCTGTTCCGCATAATCCTGTTTAATTTTCATTCAATACATTATAACATTTATTTTTAGTCTTTTAAATGAGTGGAAAAGAACACTTAATCAGTCTTTTGTGTTTTTGAAAATCTTGTTTCTTCATCACTAGAAAATTATATAATCTTCAAAATGATGTCGCAGCTCTCAATCATTAAGTTTGATAATAATGGATATACTTAGCACTTAGCAGGTATATAGCGTGCCGACAACAAACACAAAGGTATTAAAAAATCTATTTAGAACTATGTTTTATTTACTGTTATTATACAAAATAAGTTACAACAACCTAACATAAACAACAAAACGTGACATTGTATAGTATCTACTAATTACCTACTTTATATTAGTTGTCATAGTACAGTTATTGGGTATTTCTGTACAGAAATTCTTTTGAAGTTGGGAAGATGGCGATGTTACGCTCCATTGCCCCCTGCGCCTGATATGTCCAAGCCAGTTGCTGAGTTTCTTTCGCCAGTTCTTCTCAGGTCTGAGGCTTTTTCTTTCCGAACTGGTAGACTCATGACGTTCAGTAAAAATTGTAATAATTTAATGCTGAATGAAATATTTTGAATTTGAATTTGTCCAGTTGCATCTAATTGTCGTCCCACCTTTGGGAATGAAAGGAATAAAAAGTGCACTTATGTATGCACACATTAGTGCATTATATTATGTTCTTAGCAGAATTCTACTTCAGTGAGTAGTGAGAATGGCTACCATGGCCGCTGGCCGAAATCGTTCAAAAAAACCTTATTAACCGTTATTACAGCGAAAATTACAGTTTACAACCATCTAATATTTTATTAAATTATAAGTTACAGATATTTGTAAGTAAAGTATTTTTTTTTATTTATGATTCGAGTTCAACTTCCTCAAACCTCGACCTGTACGCTAACCACGCTGCTGCGGCTGTTATTAGAATCTGAAATGAAAAAACGTTATTATCTAATAAAGTTAAAAAATAATGTAAACCATTCATCTGACTGTAAATGAATATTTACATAGTTCCATAGTTACATTACTAAATATTGCTTACATACAGTTTACATATAATTTGTTCATCGTTTTTTGAATAAAAAAGCAGTTGTGGATGTGAAAATTTTAAGTTTGAATTTAAATTTCTACAGTTAAATGAGGAATGTATCGATACGCACTTCTGCCGATTCGATACCGATACCGATATTTATAAAAATATGAACGTTTCTTACTTATAAATAAATTAACTGGTTTATTTCGGTATCAAAACCGACATCCAACCTTTCTCTAAGAATAACCGTTAACCAATATTATTTCGGTTTACTAAACCGATCGTTTTCATTAACCGGTTGAAGAACGAGAGCTGAAATAACCATTACATTATCGAAATAAAGCATTTTTTAATTTTATTTTTTTGCCGAATTTAAATGCAATAAAACTCATTTTAACCGGTAAATTTTGATCATAGAACCTAAATTCGTCAAAAACCGTTCCCCGAGATTCAACCGGTTAAAGAACCTAACCGAAATCTAAAATCGAAAAGCCTTTCGGTTTCTTAAAAACTGGACAGGTTTCCGAGCCCTGAGTCAGGACCGACGACTTTACGTGCTTTCCGATGCAATGGGGTGAGACATCACCCAACTCCGTATAGTTACTGCGACTTTCTATACAAAACGACTCAATGACTAAACTTGGTCCGACCCTGGACTCGAATCCAGGACCTCCATCTGCATCGATGCTAGCCACTAGACCACCGAGGTGGTTAGAAAATATTAAATAATATAAAGAATCACCTGTAAACTGGTAGTAAAAGCTCCAATAACACCCATCGCAAAGGCGTTATAAGCCAACCATTCCCCAAGTTGTGCCGCACACCCAGTAGTGTACACGTTGAACACCGTGCATTGGAAGGGGGAAATGGTCCCGTAATCAATGTGACAGCAGCTCACGGGCAACCGGCTAGGCGACCAGTCGTCGCGACCGACGACTCCGCAACATTGAAACTAAAAGAAAAATATACTTATTATAATAAAAATATTTCGATAATATTAACATAGGTTAATGGACGTTTTCTAAAAAATGTTAGGGGCTCCACAGACGAAGAAGTTAAAGTATATTTCATGAAATATAAAATATATAGCGATTAGCGGGCTTTTTCACCGACTATAGTCTATAAACATGCTTTCATAGATACCATGCCGGTGCCAGCCAGTGAAAAACAGTCCATGTAAATAAGCAAAAAAAACTCAAGGCGAAAATGATTTATATCATGGATGTACTGTTTATGAAAACACTGCAGACACATAATATAGACAACGTTAAATATATGTTTTATATAAAAATCGGTAAATAAAATTTATAAGCATTTAAATTGGAATAATATTTAACTTACACCCATTTGTAAATCATCCCAAATTACTGCTACCTCTCTTCTGGTCTCATACTGCTGTAAACTCTGTTTCATCGGAGTTCTAATCTCTCTCACTGCATCATTATGCAGTCCAAATCCAAAAATAGTAATTGCGATTTCGAATACTAGTATGACGAGGAGAAATACAACATACTTAAAAGAAAAACAAACGAAATAATGTATTATTCATAACGTCGCTCACATTTTAGACAATAAAGAATATGTTTAAGTCGCCTGCCAAAATCAAAGAGCTATTTATAGTGTTCAGGTTAGACAAGAAATTATTTGGATAAAGATTTATAATATAGGTATAATTAAGGAGCGTTGGAACAAAAACCGATAAATCACATTTTGACAAAAACTTTTATGATGCCAATTGGTAGAAAACCATGAACTTGGCCATATTTTTACATTTTTCCACAAAAAACACAAATGTTTTTTTTCCGGTTTTTGTTCCGACGCTTCTCAATTATAGTTTATATTCGATCAAGTCTATAATTAAATGTTAATCGGCAAAGATTTGTTCATATTATTTGATTTTTTATGTAACGTGTGAATTTAAACGAAACGAAGAAAAATGAGAAACAATCGAAAAAAATATAATTACACGCGGAATGATCGCTATACATCATACATAAAAATTATAATGTAGGTACGGTACATACGTAATAAAACTTACCCCAGCAATAAAATAAAAGTGTTCTGATATGGCACCATAAAATCCAAGAACAGTGGCGAGGGTGATGATCACACCAGTAGCGATTGCAAAACTTGGCAGTGTAAAAAATCTACCAGTAAGTAAAGTGTTGTATTCGTTATAAAGGATCAACACTACTATTCCAGAAATTAAAAGTATTAATCCTGTTAACTGTAATAGAATTACACTTGCTTTATTCACATAAATTTTAAGAAAAAGTACCTGTACTATTTACAATTTAGATATTTTTTTACTAATATACCAAAATAAATTAGAATCTTACCAGAAATAAAACATTTATTGCCGCTAAAGAATATCTCACTGATTTAAATAATTTTGGAACTTTCATTTTGTATAATTTATAAAATGTCTCATAAAAAACATTAGTCTCTGCTGTATACGAAATAAGATAACGTAACTGAAACTCTAAGATGGTTTATCAATCTCGTAACAGCCCAATATCTTGGTTATCTTGACACGCTCCTCTAATCTTTATCTAGGATGTTTATAACATTTTCAGAATAATATTTCCACAATAAATATTTTGATAGTAACTAGTAGTACTTTATGGGTAATATACGACAAAGGTCTTATAGAAGTTTGAAATCTGGAACATACTTTAGCACTCGACTCTTTTTTAGTACCTATTTTTTTATGGTATTCAGTGACAAACGAGCAAACAGCCCACCTGATGGAAAGCGGTACCTATCGCCCGTAACACCTACGGTTCATGCACTTAGGTTTTGTATGACAAATATGCAGAACCGCAGGTGCGTTGTTACTGTGAGGACTAAGATGATAAGCCTCTTGCCTGTAATTGCGCTGGCTACCTTATCCTTCAGACCGGAACACAACAATGTTATCATTGTTACTTTATTTATTTAGAATTCTGTGTGTAGTAATTTTAAATGTGAATTAAACATGTATATACAAAGTACTAGGGATAGTAATGATTTCTGGGTCTGTCTGTTTGTCTGTCTGTCTGTGACCGCATCACAATAAAACCACTAGACAGATTCTGATGAAAGGTATGATGATACCTGGTTATCCGGGTTAACATATAGGATACTTTTTAATGCGGTGAAATGAAACTCATCTCTAAGAAATCTATAACGTAACTATTATAGGAACGAACCCCTTGCAACTCATATTATGTCAAATCTGGGAAGAGAAAAAACAATTTTTGTAGTAGGTATTCCGTGTGATAAAATATATACTTTATAATTAGCTTTTTTCAGGATTTTGCTCGCATAGTTAATTTATGTATTATGGCCCCGCTTGTTCGACAGCCTTTCTCAACATAGAGGCTATAAAAGCAAAAGAAAATTTCAACGGATTTCAGCGAATAAAGATGAACAAATAGAAAAAAAGTATGAATGAACCATAATTATGATTAATCCAACTGTATTTAAAATCTAAAATTTACATTGTAGAACAGTTTTAGGGACGAAATCATGATAAAACGTCGTTTTGACCATAATTTCGTCGTATTATTGTAATTCATTAAATATAATATTATACAAAATGTTTGAAATATTTAATAATTACTATATTTATTAGATTTTTATTATTTTAAAAAGCTATAAAACATACTTATATATAAATTGGGGAAGAATTTTGACTTTTTCTCCCGCCAGACGTCACCATCATTATAGCCCCAAGTGTATTGTCAGCCCTATAGCGTGGATGGATTTTTTTTTTTCATTTTATTTAAAATTTAATTAAAATGACAAACTGTACAGTGCCAGAATGCAAAGAAAATGAATATCATTTGTTATCAATAGAAAAAAACTAAAGAAATTGTGGGCTAAAACAATAAGACGACCAAAATTGACGAAATCACAATCTTTATATTTAAGGCTATGTGAAAAAAATACAAGAAAACTCAAGATAAATCAAGAAAATGTAGTTATAATTAAGAAAAACTTAATCATCAACACCAATCGTTTTAAAACGAAAAAAAATGTTTATTTCGGTTATATAAACGTTTTTTTCGTTTTAAACGCATTGGTTTAATTGGTTTTAAACCGGCCTTACATCTATAGTGTTGATCCATCAGTCATTCAAGACCACCACACCACAGGGTGCCAGGGGCGGCCTTAGCCATTGCGAGGCCCCGGGCAGGAGATTTTTGCGAGGCCCTTGTTTTATATGAAATTTATGTGAATTGAAAATATTTTTAATGATGATGCTTGACGAGAAATGTAAAAGTTATAAATAAATAAATTTAGAGTTTTAAAATTGTATATTGGAAATTTAGAAAAGTTAACAAGCACAAAGAAAACAAAATTATTTTGTCAACATTTTTAGGTTTTGCGTGACTTGCCATTGATTCTATTAGCTCATTTTGAATAATTTTTCAGAGATAGTGGACATTTCTTGTATCTTTTTAACAGTGCTAGATACACACTAGGGGCCCTCTGGACTAGTGCAGCTAGGGCGGCAAATTTTTAGGGGCAGCAAAATTCGGAGGGTGGGGAAAAAAGTCTTCACGTTATCGAAAATGCTTTTTTTATTTCCACAAAAAATGAATAATTAAAAAAGATTAACTAGTAGATACATTTTTCGAACAATTAATGTCTTATAAATTATTATTTTTGCATTTAAAAAAAAAAAATTTATCGTAACTACTCATTTTATGCAAAGTTACGATAATAGGGCGGCACTTTTTATACTGTCCAGGGGTGGCACTAAGGATCCGGCACTGCTTTTTAGAATTCACGAGCTCGAAGGTGCTCGGTTGTTTGGAAGACTTGTGTGGGGACACAGGTCCAACACGTAGAGACCTTCAGAGATTTAAATGTTTAATATCCGCATATGCCGGCATCCATCTCTGAGTAAGCCATAAGGAATTGCTTAAATATGGTCCAGACAATGCGTAGGGACTATGGAAAATATGGAAAACTAAAAGAGTCTATGGAATGGAGTTTGGATGGGCTACAAAACTGGGCTATTGGATGAGACTACCGAATATTTACCGAGGTGCTTCCAATTGGAAATCTTAGTTCGGTTTGCATCAGTATTGGTTGACGGCCATAAACCTGGGTCATTTTAAGTATGGAGTATAAGATTTTCAATTCCGCCACTCATGGATGTAGACATAGATTTAGATACGTACTTCTGGCTGGATAGTGCTGACGACCGCTACGGCGGTGGAGTAACGATGATGTTGTTTACTTACTATTATCATCGCTTGGTAGCAACGGCATTCCAGACGACGTCGAAATATTATTTCAGCTGCTTTAGGCTTAGAATGCAATAACATGTCACTTTTAGTCACTGAAAAGTCTTAAGGACTTAGAAGCTTCTTGACCATCACCTTTTATATATTTATATACAGACCCATACAGATTTTTTTCTATCTGCTTTCTTTTGATGGCTTGATGCGTTTTTGAACTACCAAACTCAACGGGCATCACAATCGCGCGAACTCAATTAGAAAATATTTTTTGCACATAAAATTAATAAAAATTACAAGCAGTTGTACGCACTTTTTTTACTCAGGGTGCACCTTTCCTTCTCAATACTTCCTTCAGCTAGTCTAACTTCCAAGTACAATACATTGCACTGCACAGGTAAGATGTGAACACAATAGATAATGATGATGGTAAAAGAGATATCACAATAAATTGCTTAATCTTAGACTGAACGTAAATAGATAATACGTGTAGCGCTCTCCTTTCGAGAAATCTTCCCCGTCACATCTCTTTTATATACAGCAACTTTGTAAGAAACTAATAAACAGTTCAATAAATTATTGTAGATTGGCAACACTACGATTACTAATTTTATTCGGCAGGTAAACGGCGGTCGACACAAGTTGTTTCTCGGGCTAATAGGTGATCATTCGTTTGTTTTATCTGAAAAATACTTTGGCGGTAAGATAATATTTTTAATTTTGATTTGGAATTATTAAATTCTTATTATATATAAAGACAGTATATTTATATAAAGCTAACACTAAGACTTTTTATACTTAACAAACTGGTTTGGCTGAGTCAACAACGCAAATCGATGTTTTGGCTTGATATATGCGCAGCGAAAGGAGTAAAACTAATTATTTTGTTCCAGATTTAATTTTTATAATTAGAATTGAAGATATTATAGAATTTAAAATGGCTATCGGAGCAGGAATGTCTTGTGTGAAATACCTTTTATTTTCCTTCAACCTTCTGTTTGCTGTAAGTATTTTTTTTTACGATTTTCCTTGAAGGTGGATGTCAAGTAATAATTGGTGCGCACATGTATAAATTTATGACATCGGATTATCCTTTCACTTATATTTAAAAATATTAAAATTACTTCATTATGGTGTAATCTATTATTTATTAGTTATTTAAACCCATTGCTAAAATATAATGTGTATGACTGCAATATTGCACAATGTTATTATCATCGAATCTAATAATTTATTAAAAAGTCTTTAAATATAAATGACTACCCTGATTATTTTTATTAAAAAAAAAAACATTTTTCTCTTAATACTAGGTATTGCTTCTTTATTGTTAAGTGAGTTTCTCTTTCTTTTAGATAACGGGGTTGATAATCCTAATAGTTGGTGCCAAGTCTGAGATCAATGCCCAGCCATATGTAAGCTTGACTGATGAGAGTTTCTATACGTCAGCTCCAATAATGCTAATTATTGTTGGCCTGATTGTGTTTGTAGTCGCCTTCTTTGGATGCTGTGGAGCTGTTAAGGAGAATCATTGCATGATTGTCACGGTAAGTTTATTTATGTAAAATAATGGCTTATGTTTTATACTATCAACATATATTTTAGTTAGAGGGTATTTTGCTAAGAGTATTATTATATTACACTTCTGAATCATTAAAGGAATAGAGATAAGAACTTTAATATAATTACCATAATGTTCAATATTGATTAAAAACATAATATGTATATGATTATATTTGAATGCTTTTATACCTTGTTTATATATAACTAATATGTATGTTGATTGTAAACAGAGATCACAGAAATGTCATTCCAAGGCTTATTTATTTTCTTTGACTGATAATAGCATGAATAATGCTTTGGTTCAGTTTAATACTGTTATTGACCAACTTATTGAAAAAATAGGTATATACTGTGACTCATTTGTTTGTATGAAACATAAACTTGTGCGAGTTACAGATAGATAGCATTGGTTTATTTTATTAGAATGTGTGACTCAAGTTAGCAGGTAGATAGCTAGTAGGTGTAAAATATTCAAGGGCTGTTTTTCAACTTTCTTACTTAATATTGTAAACTTCATCGTAATCTGTCCAGCTGTTTATTTATGTCAATATGAAGCAGTAACAAACATACAAACTTTCACATTTATAATAGTGTTATAAATACGTGTTTATATCAATTTTATCTCGTTCATTTGACATTCTATAGCATTGTTGACGCCCATTAGTTACTGTAGTTGGTTATCATATTATGTATTTGAAATGATGAAATACACTAAACAATATCCTCCACTAAAAACCTTATTTTTCATTTACTGAGCTTTCATGAGTGAGTTGATTTCATTTTCTATTGTTGAAAGATGTTAATTATATTGTAGGTAAACATTTCAATTGGTTTAATGGAGCAAAAGAAGCTTCTGAAGCTGTTGTCTTAATCACGCTTATATAGCTAAATAGAAATACACATGCTTACAAAGCCGCAGGAAGCTAGCTACAAGGTATAGGCACTTGTATGTTTTATATAGTATTCAGCCCTTTTTGACATCCCTCTGCTGGGCACGGGCCTCCCTTCAATACGAGGGGAATCAAGCCATAGTCCACCACGCTGGCCAAGTGGCGGACTTCACGTCTTTCGAACATTTGTTAGGCTATCTCAGACATGCAGGTTTCCTCGAGATGTTTTCCTTCACCGCAGAGACAAGTGGTACCCATGGTGGAAATGATTCGCACATGAAAATATCAAAGGTGCGAGATCTGAGATTTGAACCCGCTTCACTCGGTAACCCAAGCGAGCGCGTTACCACTGGCCTACCACTGCTTTTATATTATTATATTGCGAAGTTTGACAAGACAAGATTCATGACAATTAATTAGTATCAAAATTTTGCAATTTCTTTTGATACATTTCCACTTCATTTAAATATTTTATACTGCTTATTACTAAACTATTGACCTACCCTCGCTACGCTCGGATGCGTCCTTAGGTACGTGCACATAACGTTGCTACAGTTTAATTGGAAGATTTTTTTAAGAGGAATAGTTCTGTAATACTTATTATATATAACTTTAATAGTTTACGCAGCGCACGCCAATAAAGCTCCCAGTCGGCATGTGTTTTTCCGATATCTTCAAAAATCATTGTCATATTTCAGCCAATTCACACAAAACATTAATTAATTATACTAAGCCTCCCTCATGAATCACTCCATACATTTGTGAAAAACCCGTTCGGTAGTTTTTCAGTTTATCGCGTTTAGACAGACAGACGCGGCGGCGGCGGGGACTTATTTTTTATATCTCCTAATATATAGTGATAAAGCCCAAACAATAAGATTTTTTTTAATCTATACAGATAAATATAATTGAAGTGTCTGTTTGTAATGTCAAAATAACAGCTTTTTACTAAACGCATATGGAATTATATACGGTATTTGTAAGAAAAGGACAATTTTTAAATTTTTTGTCTGTCTGTCTGTTCCGGCTAATTTCCGATATGGCTGGGCCAATTTTGACGGGACTTTCACTGGCAGGTAGTTGATGTTATAAGGAGTAACTTAGGCTACTTTTATTTCTGTAAAAGAATTAGGGTTCCGCTCAAAAAAAAAATGTACCCGAGAACGAACCCGAGCGAAGCGAACTCACCCTCGCTGGTCTTTTAATATTTTAGGGCACTAATCTCTAGCTCATTATCTAACATTTTTGCTTATATATATAATAAGAAAAAATATAAAGTAATATTTATTATCATACAATTGGTAAATTGTAAATATATGTAGGTAGTAGTCACTTAATGATTAACCAAACTCATTCTTAAACAGCTTTTATGATTATAAATTATGTTCACAATCTTGATTCTAAATCGACGACTAACAATTTTACTAATTATTATTATAGATCGTTTTTGCGAAACTAAACACATCCATAATGTTTTCAATGTAACTGCTAATGTATCAAGTTATTAGTTAATATGGTTTTTTATAGTAATTTTGCGTAATTATAAGAAAGTGTATTGGTTATGATGGCTTATAAGTTACGTTTTTGCTTATATCGTGCTGTCCCATTATCGAAACGGAAATAGCGTATACGTAGGTACATATACGAATGCATATCGATCTAGATTCTAGAACGACTCGCACATGCTTCGCTCGGACCCTAACTAGATTCCATGGCAACTTTTTTAATAAGCTAATTTCCCACGGGAACGGGAAAGATGGGATAAATGTCTATTTATCCTGTCTTTCCCGTTGTCGAAAGGCCGTTGAGGTGTATGTCGACAATTTACGTGTACGATATCTTTTTTAAGTACTGGTCAAAGACAGCGAAAAGACTAGTTAGTGGTAACATGCTCATTTAAAAATTCAAGTGTAATGAGCTTAAATCCAGTTCTCCCACCTTCAGGTACAGGAAAACATTGTAGGAAACCTGAAAGTCTGAGAGAATAATTTTCGAAAGAACATGTGCCACCCGCGAACCCGCATTTGTGCAGCGTGGTGAGCTATGACCTGTAGCCCTCGCATTGAGGGGAGGCTCGTGTCCAGCAGTGGGACGTTAAAAACGTTGAATTATAAATTCAAAATTGAGTTTCGATAAATTAGAATAAATTAATACTTTTTTCTCCTCGTAAACTTATGTTAGTGGTTTAGTAGACAAAAACACCCCAAGATACTATGCAAATAAAATGTGTTTTGTTTTCTTTTTATTGCTACTTAGTCCAGTCAAATAAGGTCTGAAATCAAAATTTGGCACTCAACTTTGTAAGTTAAGTGTTAAGTCGAGGAAATTAAAATTCGCATATGTTTCTACTAACTACGATTTTTAAAATTTACGTTCTTCCCTTAAAGTTAAAACCTCCCTAACTCGGTTCATTTTGACCGGAAGATAATAAATCATGATACTTTTTTATGTAAAATTTTAAGCTCTACATATTTTTATTAAAACTTTTTGTCTACACTTTATCGTTTTCAAGTAATTGCGAAAAAATTTTTTCAACCCTTGCCGGGGGTTATTGACGCGAAAACCTTTACACATTGTTTTTGTATCATTAAAACTATATTATATCAAAAATGCAAAATTGAGGTTCAAATTTTGATTTTAAACCTTATTTGACTGGACTATACTTTCATTGTAGAGTAGCAAAAATTTCGTATGTATTATTTGGTACCTACGTGTCCAGTGCAAATAAAAGTAAAAAAAATCATCAGTCGTAATATGTGAAACTTTGCTATTAGTTTTAAGGATAATCGGAACCTCGTTTGTAACGAAGTTGTGAAACTACATTTAATGACGGAAATCCGATTAACGAAGCTCCCTAGTTTCCGACATCATTATTAGGGCTTCCGTTCCTTCGTTTCCCTTTTGTCGTTTTATTTTTTTGTTTCTTCATTCCAAATAATTTCATTTGATTAAAATAACTGTTTTACTATGAGTATGTATAATTTATTGTTTTGCAATTAGATTTTATTGGTAACTAAATGTGCCTGCGGAATCGCTCGCGTAGTTTCTTATGCATATTTATTTTTTATATATATTTGGTTATTTATGTTGCTCCGTTTCAGAGTTGTTGGATATTAAATAGCCAATTTAACTAATAATAATGAACACTTTATTGCACACCATACAAGAAGTAAAGAAGTGAAATATATAACAAATAAAGTTGCACAGCAGGCAGCCTTATCGCTAGAAGCGATCTCTTCCAGGCAACCGTAGGGTATAGGGATCAATCTATATATATAATAAAATTGTAGTCGTAGTCGTGTAAGTCGAATCTGTACATTAAATATTTTTTGGAAAATCTAATTGAAATAGACATTATCGATACAGCGTCCGAATCTATAGTTTTTAGAATTTTTGTCTGTCTGTCCACTAGACAGACTGATGAAATTTGGTATGATGATAGCTGGTTATCCGGGTCAACATATAGGATACTTTTAACCTCAGAAAAATGTCTCATTTCTGAGAAAAAATACAAAAACTGCATTGTAAGAGTATAATATTATGTAAAACCTAAGAATTTGGTTTTTGGTCCTTTAAACCGGGACGGAACCGCGGGCAGTGCTGGTAGGTATATAAAATGGTAGGCAGTGTGCTTGTATAAATACATACATACATACATACAAACGTATAACAGAAAAATATAATCAATTTGTTTATTTAAGTTACGTATTTCAAATAAATACTTAACTAGCATAACATTAATAAATATGGTATAAAAACCTTTTTTTAATCTGATTTGTACTATCAGAGATTAGAATAGAATAAAACTTTAGTGAGATTAAAGAAACAACAAAAATAAACATTTCAGCTTAATTATATTAGAATAGCTCAAACTACTGAACTAAATAATCAAAAAATAAAGGTCAAGTAGGTAGATTATGATTTGTCATAATGATTTCTTGTCTGAAAGAGTTCTAATTCAATGGAATAATTGCAATGCAATATTACAATGACAAAGAAATTATTTTTGGAGGAAAAATTGAGTCCTAATATTGCAAACGTGATGTGGAATTATGGAGGTGGCATGGCGTCGCGTCATCTCCGATAGCGTTTTA